CTGTAGTGTGACACCCTTTGTAACAATGTGACTGTGTACTCTAAAACAGATACGTTAAACTAAATGTATCTCAAGGTTAATTAATGGGAAAATGTAACAGACACTTAAGAAATAAAACTGTATAGATACATTAATTTTCATTCAACAGACTTTATAATATATACCAGAACAACAAAATATTTCTCTTTAAACTCTGGAAACATCAAAAATGACATAAATGCCTTTGAAATAATAGAACGTGTTACAAGATGGTAAAGACAATTTTTTCCTTATAGCACCATCTTTCATAAATATGTAACAGTAAATTTAAAAAAATTCAGTAACGCCAGTCTCGGCTTGAACTACATCAAGAACTACCACTTAAAATTTAATGAAAGCCACGAAGAGTGTAGTTAGTATGTGCAGAATAATAAAACAAGCAAATAATTTCTGATTCCCTAAGGGAAGCACCGAAAATCGATTCCGACAACACATTCAAAATAGTCCAAAGTGTGTTAAGATAAATATCTTTTTCAGTCTCCTCGCCCCGGTAAAAATACGTAGGACCTGTTTCGACACAGCTGTTACTAACATGTCAGTAATTTTATGAACAATTAGATCAGTAACGTAACCACTTATCTATGTACATGAGCTGCATTTGAATAGATAAAACTGTGATTTGCCACAGACTTTATCGCCGGTCTTCTATTGGGCAAAAATAGTGCAACACCGAGGAGATAAGCAACCACCAGATTCTCAAGCGCACCTGCAGATCTGCAAATCGTACGGAACATCGAAGTTTACCGTTTCGTTATTTTTCTAACACTGAAACAAAATTTAAAACTTTGAAGTCCAAAATATTTTGCCTATGTGAACGAAAATGTAAATATTTACAAACAATACGTTGCCAACAAATGTGTCTCGAAGCGGAACACATGCTGAATTTCAAGCAATCAATCGACATTTACTTCCAGGCTAACCTTCGATAGTTTCAACGCACAATTGCGCTTCAGCTAAAGATAATGTAGAGCAGTTCACATCCTGGAAAAACTATTATTAGGCCCACATTCCGAATTACTATATCCGATTAATTCACATAAATTAATGCGGGTAAAATGACAAATAAACTAGTCGCCGTAGCTTGGGCCTTCATGCCCATTATTATTAATAATAATAATAATAAGAAAAAACCCACAACTACACCAATTTATAGCACCTTGTATCTGCTGGAATGTGTTAGTTTATAACAGGAGGTAATTGGAACTGTAGCTAACTCGTTGGCTGAGATCACCGTAAGAGTTCACAGTTTTGTACTCCACCATGGTATAAGCAGTTCTATGTCGTGCACTAAAAGTGATTCTGGGGCAAAGTTTTATGTTGGCCTTGAAAAAAAACGTGTTACCCGTACTTTGGGATTGTCCAACGCTTGACGCCAAATCTTACGTCATACTCTTGCACCTGGTTTATTAAATGCTGATTACGATATTCCTGACAATCAACCAACACCATCTTTCACTTTAATTACGTTCAGTTAAGTGTAACAGAACATTTCATAACAAATTTACGTTACTTTAGTCACAAAATATTGTAATTTGAGGTTATGTGTTTACGCTGTTACTTCGTCTTGCTTTGAACGAATTTCGGTTCTCAACTGTTCAAGGCGAGCCATCTAGTGATTGGAACTGGAACTACACGAAATTATGGATTTGTCTACGGAGCTGATCAGCTGATCTCGGAACCATTATTATTGTACTACTGTAGGCCGTAACTAGAGGTTTCGAAACCACAATGAGATCAAACAGAAAATTGAACTGTTTCAACACGTTCTAAAACCTTCCCACACGGCCATATGGCAATTTAACGAAATATCCAAGCCTGTTCACAAGTCACGGAGCATCTGAAGCCGAGATAAAATTCATCCTTTAATTAGCCATGTAGGTGTGTCACTTCACTGCATAAACGCTCCACATCGGCAAGGTCATGTGATTAGCAATGATGTGTACAGCTGGCCTCCAAACACAACAGCCCATACGACCTTGACAATCGTTCATCACGGTGCAACTGATAGCCTACACTTTCGTTTGACATTATGAAAACTAGTTTCATGACACTTTCCTGTTAATTGCACACGATTTATCCCCACGTAAAAATACACCACTCACATCTTGATGCTGATAAAACAATATTTTAATAGATAATCTTCCACAAGATCGTACTCTATAACTCATATGATCACTGTCAATGCGTTATGTTGTCGGTCGATGGAATTTTAACCTCATGATTCGATTGAAACAAGTTTTATGGCGACAGCCCAAGAACTGTGGCCAACATGCTGACAACAGGGTGCCAAACCATACACTAGTAGGGCCAACATTGAAGAGACACTGCAAACGTCAATAAGAATGACAGTGCCAAACCAGGAGATTTCCCGGCTCATATGAATGAAATATATACTAAGGCAAAGAGATAACACTTACCATGGTCATTTTAGGCCATAATCTACCGATTACTTCCACCACTTCATCGCAGGAACCAGCCACGGTCACAAGCACGCCGTATTCTCGTTAAACAGTTCCCCACTCCCGGCACAATCGTCCTTCGTCTTTCACTACGAGTGGAATTCTTCTAAAAATTGTCGCTCGGTTTAGTGTGGCGCAGTAGTAGTTTAGACGCTGTTGCAATGTTTGCTACTGAGTCAAATCAGTAACTGTACGCTTTGCGCGACATCTCTCGCTCAATGGCGTTTCATACAGTTTAACGCTCGATGAAAATCAAAACACTGAAAGCCAACCTTTCTTCCCGACCATACAGTGCATGTCCACAACTTTTAAATATAACCGCGATGCCAAAAATTTAATAAACATTTCCTATCCAGCGTAGTGTATTTATGATGCCATCAATCAAGCTTCCAACGGACCAATCCCAAGCCACAATCCAAGTCACGGTCCTCCATATTAGGAAAGGTAGGTGATATTATAGGCGGAGCTTAGCATATTACTCCTCCTTGATGTAAAAACGCGGGAAATGAATATAATGTAAATTAACAGTACGTAATTACATCTTCTAAAGATCACACAGCATAAAGTTCTTTCTCTAAATTCCGTCGATCGCTACCTACATCGAAAAGCAGTCCCATACAGATAAGACGTATCAGTGATGTTGCTCCGGAGTAGCGACCACTTATATAATTAAATGATTGATAACATTTCGTCCTTGAAGCTTGAGCCAATAAAATGGCAAGATCAAGTTCGCGTATTGATAAGGGGTTCGCATGCTGTAGAACATTTGGTAGCAACTTTCAGGGTATGAATCAATATAACTGTTGTAAAATAAACACGGTTTGTAATAACATCGATTTTTCGCGTGAATACTTTCCTCTGACAAGAGAGAAGATGATGGAATTTCTTCCCAGATTTGTCGACTTTTCTCACGTTAGCCTACTCTCCTCAGAAGAAGTGAGAATATGTATTTACTATTTTCTTTTGCCCCCCCCCCCTTCAAACTGAATGTTAGATTTAACTCTACGAGGGACGGCAATAAATCTTCTAAAGATTATGACGATTACATTAATGATGATGTTTCTCCTCGCGTCTTTGTGGGATTTTTCAGAGAGGGCTTTAAGCCTGCTTGTTTCAATTCTGATATTAGTGGCTGAGTGGAATTTGAGCATATTTTGGAACTCTGCGACTTCTATATGCATGATACAAGGACACATTATAAATAAAATTCTGAGACATAAATGGTTGCCTGCAAATTACGTATTTAATTTATGAAAGTATCTTTGTTTATCCACTGAGAATCAGTCATGGTTATAAATAAACCATCTGGAAAGCCAACTGCAAATCCGAACTATATTACTTCCATCTGAAGACATTCATTGGTGGGATGGACTTACCAATGGCATTTACGTAGGCCAAAAGGCATGAATGACGCACTACAAGCATCTCAGCAACATATCGCAAGTTTATCACCCTAAAACCTTTCACATATCATTATCGGTCTTCCTAATAAGACTCATAATCAAAATAAATATAATAATTTACAGTCATACGTAGTGAGTTAAATGCATTAAAAATTTGGTCCTATGTTTCAGTGACTAGTAGCCCAGAATGCAGGTAGGTATATTTAGTATTCATCAGTTGGCTATAATGTAATGACGACATAAATGGCGGGCATGTGTGAAAAGTTAGGGCATTTATACTTTGTTAATTATCAGATAGAAACAGAATCTGAATATTCGACAAGTAAAATGTATTTAAATACTTTGTAGAAAATACTTCGTACTTAAAATACTATTTTACTTTTTTTTTTGCATCATGCAGAGTTGTTTTATAAATTGCAGTTCTTTTTAGGTTATGCAGCTGTGTGCTCGTTTCGACGAATGGTCTGAGTTCCGTTCTTTACCTGTCTATAGTAATTACGTCTGTTTCATTGTTTCTACATTTCAGTATAAACGGGGAATTCTAAAAACTGACCAGATTCGTCACCTGGCACAGAAAGACGCTGACTGTCGACACTTTATTTTTTTTATTTTTTTAAAAAAAAAATTAATTCTGTCTAACACACATAACCTTAAAATACTTAATTCGAATACCTACAATATCCATAAAAAAAATTAAGAAATGAAATCGAAGACAATAACCGAGACGATTAAATAAAACTGCCGTCTCGTTCTTCAGCATTAAACAAAAGCTTTTACAAAATAAACTATTCTGATAGTCTGGGAGCTGCTAATGTTTACGTCAAAATCTAATTTCGTCTCGATTAAAATTAAAGGGCCTCCATGACTGACGCATATGAGAAACTTGTTCGTCTTGTAATCATAATATAGCCTAAGTGTATAAATTTCTTTCGTAGTTGTACGAATCCAGGCCACTAAAATATTATTTCAATTTAATACCTTGTCAAATTATTCTTCCTTACATCCGAAAATTCTAATATTTTGCCCAAATTTCTTCTCTGGGGTTTTAAAGTAAAATCTTCACTAGAAGTTACGATCCTATCTGTGAGTAACCCAGTGATAGCCTAGAGATCCTATCTTTAAGCCTCCAGATAGGTTTATTCATAGGCGTTTATTCTAATGCTGATATTATAGTCATTCGGCCACTATTCGGTCGCCAAAGCCTCGTTTGCTAGAAAATAACTTACACATTTGTAGACGACCTTTTTTCTTGGACATAAGAGGGTTTAAGACAAGCACAATTACCAACTGGGGCCTGTGAAATTTCTCATAAGCACGTTAAGAAGACGAGAACATAATACGTAACGTCTAAACAACATTTAATAATTCTGTCCGTACCTCAAAGAAAACCATACATTATCACTGAAATTATCAAATGGTTAATTGTTTTTAAAGAAATAATCTCTGCTTACACTTATAATAACACAAAACCCCATAAACAAAACCTGCTAGAGTTATTTATTGTCAAGATCATGTGGTACATATAATTACCACTGGTCTTTTGAGGTTAAACCACAGTAGATATTAAGGACAGGTTACTTTTTAAGAAGGGAAGACAGAGGCCTAAGTTATTAATATAATTAAAAACAGAATCCATAAGCCTCCAGCACAAAATGTTGAAATCAAAAACTTGGACTCGACGTGTTGACAGAATGCAATGAGACAGACTTCCAAATTATTAAAAAAAAAAATATATATTAACCACGTGGGTTAAGAAACCGATGACGACCTTTAAAGAGACCTTTGATCGAATGAAGCCGGAACGGGTCAGCAAGTGGCCTCACTCTTTTGATTGCTAGATGATGTCGATAATAAATCCAACTAGGCCTAAATGCTGTAACGTAATTTAACATTCTTGAACGCAGTCATGTTTTACGTGTTAAAATTTAGGAAGTTGGGAGGTTGATTCAGTCCTTTTCGGTCTGTCCAGTGCCCAACCTTAAGACATACCACCGAGTCTTGGTTACGTAGGAATATTTCGGTTTAAATGGTTGACTGTATTAATGCATTTTACTGCAAAGTAGCTTCTTCCTACGTCACGATGTGAGCCAAATAACCTCATAACGCGATTTAAATTAGGATCGTAAAAGATAATCAAAATATATATTTAATAATGCAGAAGTGACCGAAAGTTTTATACAGACGACGACAACAGTTTGGGCACAACTTATTTAAAAACTAACGGTTCTTTATACGAAGGTTGAAACACAGAATGAATATTCAAATTTTTCTCGATGACAGACCTGCACTACCCACATTAAGTCTCCCAAGACAATAAACGAGTAGACTTAAATGATATTTATATCACAAGTTGCTACGAAAAGGAAAAAAAAATTCTTCAGCCAGGAGGACAATCCATTTGGCCTACCACCGAGAAAAACCGGTTGGATCAGGTGTTGACAAATTACGAAAACCGGACACAGATTAAAGTTCTGTCATTTCCTTTAAGCATTATAATTACTCTGAAGTGATCGAAAAGAACCACGAGGAACTTACTTTGCTCACTGTCTCCTAAAGGTTATTTATTTATTTATTTGTTATTCGTGTACCGCGTGTTTATTTAACGACACTTTCAGTATCTAGACTACTTAGCGTCGGATGAGAGGATGACAGTGAATAATGAATTGTCGTGGTCCCGGCATTCGCCCGAGAGGGACTGAGGAAAACCACGAAAACGTAAGTCAGGATATCCGGTCTCCGGACGAAGATCTCAACCCGGGACCAGATTACATGCATTCACTAACTTTGTGAAGTCCCTTCAACAAGCTCATATACACCGTCACCCTATTCCTGCTTCTGCCAGCACAACAATGACGTAATTCATAAATGTAAGGGATTGTTGCCGACTCACCATAAGCGAGCCTGCTTGTATCGCCGCAGGGATAACGCGAAGATCCTCTGGTGAGGGATGGTCCACGTCAGACCTGTGAAGACAAAGAAGAGTTAACTCTCTGTAGCTCCTCCAAATAGTACTCAAAAGGTTTAGAGATTGCCATTTCTATGGCACTGGGAATTGGGAGATACTGGAATTCAAATAAAATTAATTTAAAACACATTCAAAATTCACAAAAAAAATCAACTGGTCTCTGTCCCCCCCCCTCTCCCAAAAAATTAAATTTCACTGGTCATCTGAGATATTTTGGAATTCCAATAAAATTCATTCAAAACACACTCGTATCAGATATTATCTAAATCTTCATAATATCGTATGGAAACAATGTCATCAAACAATTGAATTACTACACTCGCGTTTACGACAGGTCCCACAGTGAAACAGCGTTATATTTTGCATCCTCTCGTGTAAAAAATGTTCCCCGTGTGTAGAGGAATTTTAATGCCTCCCTGAAATAAAGGTTTGGTAATTTGATTCTGTGAAGTTGGCTACAAAACAGGAACCAGAAGTCATATTGGATCTTGAATTCCCCGCTTCCCTCGCACAGAACAGCTGGACAATTTTGTGTGCACTTAACAGCTGTTTTGGAAAGTACGTATTACAAATGCTTCCAAAGTTTCGTATCGGTCTGTTTTGATTGAAATCCGGTTTGTGTAATGGTCGGGGTATTTATCTTATACGTGTAACTTTTTTTTATTGTAGCATTAAACATGACAGAGGGGCAACCACAGAAGAAATTCAAGATAAAGAATCTTGTCAATACCAAGCAGACGAGAAGTGAGTAACCCATCTAAGCAGCTGTGTTGGGAAAGTAATCATATAATATTTTTACATTTATGACCACATCCACCGTTAACAGCACCACACATTAGAGATAGGGCAAAAATAACGTAACTGTTATTCTGGAACTGTTTTAGACGTATATCTGTTATAAAAAGCGTGACCATTGCATTGACCTCAATCCTAGTTTATTTTTCTGTTAGCATTTTGGTGTTTGATTACCAAATTTGTTTTGTTATGATGAAATTATCTATCTAAAAATATTAAGAGAAAACTTTTTTGTGCTGACCAAACCATTTCTCAGATGTGTGATGAGCATTCTAAGGTTTTTATCATACATATAGCATTAAACATTATTGTCTTTTGTACTATGTTGATTTGCCTAATTATATTTCCTATACATTGTCATATGGTATGATGACTATTCTCCATTTGTTCTGCAGCTTTGTTTATGTTGTGTTGTACAAGTAATCATATGCAAACGTAATTTTGTACTTGCAGGACACCAGGAGAACCAGGATTATCCAATTTTACCAAAATTATGGAAATAACTGCACTTGTTGATAAAACAAAGCTTATTAAGTAGATTATTAAAGAAATTTTTGTGGTAATGACAGCATCTTGACAGTTCAGGATGTCCACAAATTTGAATATGCTGAAACATTACCTGAAAATACAAGTAGATAAAAGTTGGAAACCATGAGAACCTGTCGAGGGAACACCCAATTACAAGCCATTTGTAGACCATAATTTAAATATAAGCAAGGAAAAATATATTATGAATAAACATTGTGGACAGATCCAGTGATATGTGTTGATTTAAGTATGGTGATGTTATTTGCTCTTTTGAGGATATGCTAAATCGGACGAAAAAAATTTCGTCAGCAACACGAGTAGTTCTCAGAGAGTGAAAAATTAAGGGAGAGAAAAACTATCGAGTTATGATGTGATGACATAAGTTGTGAAACTATGAGTGAGGGTCATATAACATCTGGTTTGGAGACATTGTCAGAATTTTTGTTCCAACAGATGAATATGATTCACCTACTATGAAAACAATGAATCTTGTTGAGACAATAAAGGAATTAAACACATTGTTCAGTTAAGTGCTGGTATAATCTCTGTTTGGAAAAGTAATGTGTCTGTGGATCATGCATTAATTATCAGAATTTAATATGTAGCTGAGGCAAGCTCGTCTGCATTCAATAATTTAAATTCTGTACATTTTTAACTGATCACATATTTATACATTTATTTGGGCTGAAACCAAATGAAACTGAACTGTTTACAAAACTTCATGTTGATAACAATGTACCTGGCAAAGCTTGTGGCATACAGTGGTTATTTAAATTAAAAAGCGATATGTGAAAATACATAAGTTTGTGACCAGTTTTGAAATTTTTACCTGATTATTCAAGATATACTGGAGATTTAAAAATGAAATTTTATTAAGAAGTATTTCAAAACTTCAGGATATATAAAAAATTTAAGAAATGTGTTTAAAATTCTGATAATCCACTCAGAAGTTAATTAGCTTATATAGATGGTCATTCTGTAATGTTATAATACAAGAAGAACTATAGGCATGTAAGATTACTGAATTAAGACAGGTTGTTTTAAAGCCAAAACCAACCTGTAACAAAACTTTTTTTTTTGTCAAAACAAGGTTGCCTGACATACACAGGCATTGTAAAAGAATACGAAAATACCAAGTAAAGCAAATGTCAATATTTTATAATAAAGTTTGAAAACACTAAATTAAGAATTAGCAGGTCAGTATATCGATTAACAAAGGAAAATACTCTGTGTTATTAGATCTATGTACGAAGTTCACACACAAACCTTGGCTGCAGTTGGTTTCCAAATCATAATCTAAAAACAACACTGATAGCAGAAATTTATATTAATAATAATTAACTGTTCACTGGATATATGCGTAACTAAACTGATAACAAATTTTATAATGCCACTGTTGATAAAACATGATTATAATCGAAAGAGAAACACCAGAAAACATAATTTTGCACACGAAGCTTCAAAACCGCGCTCTAATAATACGCCATCTTTCACTGGAGCACCAATTGGACCAACAGAACGGCGCGAAACTAATCGGAAGATCGTCTAAAACAAACAACAGCGGAAATCAAAGGGGGATTGTCGGAGAATCACGTCTCTAACGAATTCGATACTCCAAGAACTTTGCTCAGACACATTCAGTGCCTAGGTTCAGAATGCACGAAGCTTTATCTCCACGTCCTCTATCCGCCTTCATAGTTTATGAACAGGGGCGAATTTTAATTACACCATTAATGACCAAGATAGACCACACGGAACAGCATAATAACGCTATGTCGACATTTATTTGTTTATTCTCACAGACGCTGAAAGAAAGAAGAAATCGGTTTAACATTTTATACCACTGCTTTACGAAATTGAGATAAAATGCATTTCAAAACCATAGATTTTGCATGTGCCAGTAGGTCTTAGTTCATGACATAAATTAGAACCGATATAAGCGTAGTTCTGCAACGTGGATGTGCTAAACCTTGTGAGACGAAAGAACATCTGAATTATGCATGCCCGTATTTTGGTTAATCTACATTTCATGGCAATTCTTCCAATTCTCCCCACATCTCTGATCCTTAAAACAGAAGAAGGTTTTCCGTCTTGTCGTGAAATATGGTTTAAGCTAGACTTAATGACAGTTGAGTAATGGTATAGGGAAAGTATCTCCAATCAACGAAAACTTAAAAAAAAGATAAAAAGAGTGGATTTCCATCTGCTAAGAGAAAGTAGTTTCTTTTCCGCTGATCGGTATAATCTTCTAGATAATACGACCCCTGGACTATCTTTATTCATGTGTTAGCATAAGGGTTGGTGGTGTATAACCTAATAATGACCATGGACTTTAATACTGTTGATTCACTGACAAACAGAATGTTCATGATGAAACTAAGATAAGGATATAATGCCTAAAAATTCAATTGTTTTAATCCCACTTAGTTTCCAAAACGCTTAAGATATTGGGAGACAAAATAATAAATCTTCATAGGTGTCAAACGTGTTGTTTTGAGGAAATAATAAAAATTTCAGGTGTCTAAAAACCTATTGTATATTAAAACTGATAAAGTGAGCAATTTAGGACATTACAAAAAGCATCGTGATTTACATAGGTCAGGTTGTTAAGTAACTCCATGGAGTAGAGCCCATCTTGAGAAATTGATAGTACAGTACCCTCAGCTAGCCAAGAAATTCGCTGCCTTTCCCTTTATCAAACTGGATAATTCATTATCATCTTCACAATAATCGCCATCAGTTCATATCCTTCGCTAAATGAATACAATCTACATCCTCCACCCATATTTCCCAAGATCCATTTTAATATTGTCTTCCCATCAACACCTACGTCTTCCGAGTGGTCTCTCTACCACAGGCTTTCCAACCAACATTTTGTAAGCATTTCTTATCTACCAATCGAACTACATGCCCTGCCCATCTCTTCCTCTTTGATATGATCTTCCTAGTATTTGGGAAGGACATATATAATTATAGAATGACTTAGTGTTGTTGGATTGTGATATCTTGGGGGCTACGACAAGTTGGGATGGGGTGCGGCCATCAATGAATACAGAATTTTGGTTGGGAAACACCCTGAAAAATGTTCACTTAGATTGTGTCTAATGGCTGGCATTCATATTAGTATATTAGTAATGGTGTTTAGCTATTAATTAATGAAGTGCCAGTTCAAGTCAATGTGTGTCAATAATGAAATGAGTTTGTAGATTTCCATGAGATGATCAGTATTTTGTTATGTACCAACATTTTATACGATGAATTATTGTTTAGAAAACTTATAACATTTCATTTGGGTCTCTGTAAGGTAGGGTTTATATTGACTGACATTAACTTACATTCTTCTGGGAACTTCTTATGCAGATCTCCAGTATCAGATTTCATCACAAATAATTCAGTATTTTAGTGATGAAACAAGTAGATAAATATAAAATCCACATTATACTGCCATTTTATGCACTTCCTGTAAAGAAGGAATAAAAAAATTATAAGGTTATGCCTTGATAAATGTTGAGTGCTGTTCACATACTTTGTAGTACAACTGTACCCTTTACAATTATCAACTATCTGTACATTTTCCTGTCACAAATCCGATGTTTAATAACATGTAACAGTAAAATTTTCCCATGCTTTCATATAACATTTTTTTTCATAATTCAGTTATTTTATTTACAATAGACTCTAGCGCAGTGGTTGACAGCCTTTCCATCATTCATTTCACACAAAACCTTTGTTTCTTTACAGATTCCATCTGCCCAACAAAATATTTTTCTTCAGACTGCAAGTGCTGAAAATAAGATTTATTATTTCTTGAGAGAAGTCATCATTGGTTGCTGTACGAAAATAACTGTCCTTGAAACAATTCAGACAAACCCTTTACAAAATGCTCCAACTGCAAGACTAATTTCACAATTGTAGTGTTCAGTTTATTCTACACTTTAAAAAGATAGTATTCTGAAATACACATAATTCAAATGAGTAGGTAATATCAGAAAAATATGCCACCATCAGAAAACGAAAAATCATTCAAAATTCACTTCTCTGAAATTTCTTATCACTGAGAAATGTTTTTATTTCATCACACAACTCATATAAGCAGGAAGAACTCTTCTATGCGACAGCCAATGTATTTGGACATTAAAAATACATTTAATCAATTTTAAGACACCATCAACTGTAATATGTACTCTTGATTTGGTAATAGGTTTAATGAAAAGAAGATGCTGTATCGATTCTTACACACCATCAAATATAAGACGTGCCCTGATTTCAGAAATTTTAAAAAGTGAAAAAAGTGTCCTAAAATCAGAGGAATGTGTATGAATTTAAAGGATGATCTTTGATAAAATTATTCACCTTCACTGCTTCAACCAGTGCAATATTCAGTTTTTGTGGCATCTTTCATGTTGCAAATGATTTTCTATATTTGTACTGATAGCCTGTATATGTACGTGATAGTTTCCTCGCATTTCAGAAGCCCCATCACATTTTAACCGCCTAATTTCATCACCAATTATGAATTCATTTGAACTATAAAAAATGGCATCGCCGGTATTGTGTTTACAATGATCAGCAGAACAAAAGATCCTCATTAATTCTGCCATTTGATTAATATCATGTGAAATTAAGTAAACCAGAGCTATTATAAACATCTGTACTTTCATCTGTCTGAAGAAAAACAAACTTTTCTCATGAGCCGAATTTTAACATTATTAGGCCGGTCCTCAACTTTCCACTTTATATTTGCCTTTGATAAAGGAATTAAATAAAATGTTCTGCTGCTGTCTCTTTCGGTATTCTGGATGTAGGGGGCACTGTTGACTGGTAATGGTCATATAGCTTTTTTCTTCACTCTGGACTGGTAACAGTATCATGTTATTCGAGAATGATCAATGCATTCAGTTTGGATTCTGTAAATATGTAAATGTGTGACATATAGCTCTGGTTCGCCAACCCTGTTCAGAAATACTTATGATGTCTTCAACAGCTGATCTGACCTCGTGATCATCATAACTCAAATTATGTAATTCCACAGATGAGCGGTACATACGAAGTGCCTCTTTGAATAGAAAATAATTTATTTACAGTCTGTAGATCCTTCGCAGCACAAGACAGGTATGTAGAACACAAATACCAAGATTTAGTACAAATAAAGTACCAATAAATATATAACTACACAGTTGTTACAACATACCTAAATACATTTAATAACTTTCAATCAAAACAACTTCTATAGTGTAAAAGCGAGATAAAAAATAATGCTGGTTTAAATACTTTTATATCATGATGTACACTGGAAGAGAATTTAATAACATGATCCCTGCATAGTAAGCAGTTTTCTGATAACTAGTGAGGTTAGCATTCAGCATACGAAGGTCATGTTTATGCCGTGTTTATACTATATAAAGTATTTCAGAATTTCCTTGAAACTTCTCCATGTTGTCCACAACAAATAACATTAATAACAGTAAGAATTCACATGCAGGGAAAAGTATATTAAATGTCTTAAACAATTTTCTGCAAGAGATTCTTTTTTGACTCCTGCTATTATTCATGGTCATAAGCTTCAAACTGCCACCATGACTGTTGTATACTGATTTTAAATTTTAACTTCTTAGATGGGTTATAAATTCTGTTATAGTACGATCATTTGTTAATCTAATTTGCTGCCTGCAACTGTAATCACTATCAGCTGATGAATCATGGTCAGACAGTTCATTTATCACTGGTTCTAATGAAAAATTATCATCATTATCAACATTTACATTTTAAATTCTTGTCGGGAAGTTCACAGTGTAACATGCTATCTACAGTTTGTGAATGCATTAAGAGAATGCTTGTCAATAATCCAAATCTCTGAAAATTAGATTGTAAAATAGGATACGTAATATGAATTTCAAGTATTAAAAATGTTTCACGGACCCCAGGTCTGGAACTTTTGCCACAGCAACAAAAGGCTGACTAAAGGTACATTAGACCAGATTATCTTTGGTTTAGACTACTCGATCTTTCCCCTAGACATGACTAGCTACATATATTCTACTAGACAAAAACTGTCTTGGCAGTATGTTTTGAATTTACTGTTTCAGTATTTACACAAGAGAGGATTGATGCAGTGATACAAACAGGTCGTGCACTCGGTTTCAATAAAGTATCCTTGCATTTCAGAAACAGACAGTTGAGAGAGAGTCATATGTACAAAACTATTATGCTTTATTTTGTGTTTCAAAATGTAATGGAGGAAACCCAAAGTAATAATACTGATTGAACAAATGATTCAAAGTCTGTTCTGTAATAATTAACTTGCAAAAAGTATAAAATAGAAATATGGGCTTTGTGGGTATCCATGACTAATGGTTTTGATATCTTGTGCACATACATGACAGTACTGTAGGAATCTCTACAAGACCCCTTTCCTAATCCTGCATCATTCAGTAATGAGACTATCCACTTGTTCCTATTTTTTTCAAAAAAAAATTGACATACCCAACAACTACACTTCCTTCTCTTCCTCATATGTAGCACACTCATTACAAACGCTGCACCGGCTTCGTCCATAGTTAACAGTTCACTAAACTTGGTTCCTTCGGTTTTTAGATTTGTCTACTAGATTTTTGACAAAATCTGATCATGGTTATATCGATATAGAGTGCAAATCTACACTGACATGATGATAACGAAAATCGAGTAGTCTAAACGTACCTTAAAATTACAGATAACATAGGTTACTGGCTTATTTCTGTAGCATACATAACCTTGCGGAATGTTCAATAGATCTCATCAAAAGGGAAAATTCTTGTGTGTTAAAGGGAAATTTGTTTCATTGCAATGACAACGTAAGAATGGATATGTAAACAAACAGCGTTTAAAATTTTTTTCATATCACGTATAATGAGGTTAAACTGTTTGGTTGAGCCTTTTAGGACATATATTCGCCAATATAATTCAGTAACAGTAAAATACACAACGTGTAAGAAGTCGAGGAAAGTGCTAATCTCCTATAACCATGCACAAAATGCTGAAGAATCGTGTTCAAAAGAGTACATGCGTTTTGGTGAAGGTTATAATGCTTCAAAAGAAACAATGATGCACGATATGAGAGTTGTAGCAGACTTCTTGACCGAAGAAGACGAAAGATCGTTATTTGAAGAAATAGAACCGTATATGCGAAGACTGAGATACGAATTTGATCACTGGGATGATGTAAGCGAACTTGTATTGCCATTCTAAGTTCTCCAAGTTATGATTCAGATTTCAAACGGCGCCTCATATGAAGTGCAAATATATGTATGTTTATAATGCATTAGGTCAATCAGTAAAGTAATTATGGTATGGACGACAGGGATTTGATTTCCCTCAGGGGCCAATAATTTTTGCCACATCATTCAGACAGACCCTGGAACTCACTCAGCCAACTTTCCAATGGTACCAGGGTTCTGTTCTTGAAATTAGAGTTTCCAGAATGATGTATTAAGTTACATCACTGAATGAAACCAACATTCTGCCACATATTCAGAAGGTAAAGGAAAGGGAAGTTTTTCTGTAGTGTCTTAGTTGTAGTTATTTAGTGGTGATTTATGTAACAGAGTTGTGTTCCAATGTTTTTGTTGTATTAAATGCAGTATTAATTTTTTTTAACTTTGTATTGGATGAATGAAGGTAAAGCTTCACACATTTTAAAACCTTGACACTAGATGGAACCAAGTAGTTAGTTTCATACCCTGGCCGCTTTAACTCCATTGGGCATTAGGGTAGGAGTTGTTAGTGGATAAACCTTAGACAGTCTGGACATTGTAGTGAAGAAAGAACTCCTGCCCTACTGGGAACTGAACCCTAGTTATCCAGCCCACTATACTGATTGAGCTATTCTGTCTCTCATTATTAAATGTCAGGTCACTAAAGGAAGGGAGTGAACAGCAGAAAATTGGAGAATTAAGAGGAGTCAAGATAATCATCAAGTATTCCCATCTTTTTTATGCTGCAAAAAGTAAAAGTTTTGTATTTTAAATGTGTCACTAGGCAAGGTCATGCAGCTGTATGCTAAAATGAATAATTCTGGAGATAAGTTCTGGAATTATCAGCTTAACTAAGGAAGATTAACATTTTGCACAGGCTATCCATGGTTACAGAGAGACAGAAAGATTGAACTGGAATCCACAGAATACAGGAATTCTGCAGCGTGTCCGTGATGCAGCGTTTCCACCAGGAACACCCCAATTAAGTCTCGTTCACATACTGGACCTTGCTGAAAAAGGGGTTATCAAGCCTCACATTGACAGTGCTCGTGTAAGTCTTCATTTTGACTTCGGCAGATCATTATGTGACTTTGTAAAATTTTGTTAAGAGGTGACAGAATCTTCTGATTGCAGTATTCATCTTGGGGAACGTACATCCTTTATGCACCGAAGGCCCTCCACGACTCGTCTGGGAATGATGATACACACATACATATTCATTTTATGCAATTGAGAACAATTAGGAAAACATGGAAGATACTACTACTAAACTTTAAAGTCTTTAAGAATATCCAACATTATACTTTAAAGGCTGGGTAGGGAATCCCCAGGCTACTTTGGTTTCTGTGCTTACCTGGAAAATCCCCAATCAGCTGCATAACCATGCAGGGAATCTTCCCTGGTGTCTCATTTAGCCATGCAGGCACCTTGACCACACAGAGATTAACCCCAGATAACTCTTAACATAACTGTGACCATTTAAAATATCAAAGTTTAGCTAACATGACAGAATTGTTATGCTGTGTATACGTTTCCTAACTTTTTTTCTGTAATTACATCATTTTACCTTTTCCACCTCCCTCCCCATCTTCTGCCTTAATTTCTCAATGACACATTTATCTAAATTCTCTCTGAATGCAGATATAAATGATCTAGGCTATCCCTGATGTTAAGTTATCAATGAAGGTAATTTTTAATGAATGGGGGTCGTTGTAAACATATCATGTGTTACAATATTTATAATTAAAGTTATGTTTCTTATTTCAGTTCTGTGGTAATACCATAGCTGGTCTGAGTCTGTTGTCTGATTCTGTTATGCGACTAGTTCATGAAAGGAATAAAGAACAAGTCGTAGATATACTTCTGAAGAGACGTTCTCTTTACATAATGAAGTGAGTGTAATTTAATGGAACAGTATAAATGTGGATATTAAGTCCAGTTTTTTTGTTTAATGTTACACAAATCCATATATAACTGTTATAAATCCTAATTTTATGTTATACATGAAATGAAGAACAACGTTTTTGTGATGTATTTCCAAATAAAATATAGTGCGTCAATTCTGCTGTTATTTTATGCTTGCAGCTAGTCATGAAATAGTCACATTCATAAATATACATTTCATTGCAAAATGTTGATTCTGTAATGAACCTATCTGTATCTTCCACGATAGTTCAGCATAAATCCTGTAGATGGAACATAATGTATTTATTTGTACCTTTGTGAGTTACACGAGTAGAAACAATAAAAGGTTAAGCAAGCATCATTACTTGAAGAAAACAGCTGTTTATTATCTTATTTTAAACAAGATTATAAAGATGTGCTCTTTGGAGTACACAAACATTCCAAAGGTGTGTCTTAATTAGTAACTGGTATTCGTTGAACTTTGAATGCACCGAACCAACTTTTATATCAATATTTCTTTCAGAAACAGATTCTGTAGTTTGCTATGGACAGCATCTTGTGAGGCTCTGTGGTAATTCCAGCACGTTTCTAGACCATTCTCTCATTAGCATAATTAATGCAGTGTTGTAAAATATCACAAATACATTCATTTACTTTGTTTCCTTTCTTGTAGTGAATATGAATCATTAACAGACGTTTTTATTTTCAGAAAAACAGCAAGATATGAATTCACTCACGAAATTCTTGGAAGTGCCAATTCGAAATTTGGTGAACAGATTATACCCAGAGGACGGCGCATATCAATCATATGTAGAAATGAACCGGATAATACCGTAGAAAACTAATTAGAATTTGTACATCATACAGAATTGAAAAAATAATATGAAAGTAATTTTGAGACTGAATTCTTTAAAATAGTATTTTATTGGTGCGTCTGTGATAAGATATAGTCACATAGTCATTTAGTTATATCACAAAGTGATGTTTAATCATTTGACAAGAATGTACCAGTACATTCAGTGCTGGATAGTCAAAATATATTTATCCACACAGGAGAATACGCTAATATAGGTGTGTTAATGTATCTGATACAAATATTCAAAAAAGCCTGATTGAGGTTTGAAAGTATTTCAAAGGAAACGTAGTATGTACAACACAGGGGCTTGGTTGAGGTATATTTTCTTTATAGTATATCAGAAGTTATGGGAATTCAAGCGAATACTGAAATCTCATTTTTGTGTGGAACAACCGTCATATAGTGAAGCAGGTGGAAACTAAGAGTAGATATTACATATAACATAAAACATGAATTATTTCATACTAAAAATGTTAAACAATGTTGAACAACATCTTGAAGAGGCTGAAGTGATATTTACTCTGTATGTTTCTTAGAGGAATTACACTAAAATGAATTTTGAAAGTCCACTTCTGTGAGTCGATTATTAAATTAAACTTTTATTCCTACAATTTTATATCCGTAACTTCTGTCTTACTTGTCCCAGGTCACGAGATTAGAGATACTACATTTAATATCATTACAAGTATAAAATATAATAAGTTTTATATCTATAAATTGGATGTTATATTAACTCACGAAAACAAATGCTTTCTTGCTCATTTTCTTTTTGTTTCTTGTAAAAAAAAAAGGGGGGGGGCAATAACCTTTTCAGTGCTGTGGTAGCTCTGTATTCATTTCGGCTTTTGTTCACATTCATGACCTCGGGAAACAGCTTTGCTATCAGCGTCTTAAACAGACAACTGAATCTATTTTCTCGAGAGATTCTAAAATAACTTTACCTAGAAGAAATTATACACCATATTTACTTGTGTATAAAACACGTATTTTTTAAATTATCTGTTATTAAAATTAGCGTGAGTGTAAGGCAAAACATGAAGCGAAGAAATGGTGGCTCTTTCTCTCTCTTTTTTCCCCCCTTCCCTCTCGACCACACTGTCATCTGACTCATTTAATATATGAGTGCATCTGGGTCAGTTTCATTACAAACTACCACATATTTTTTATTCTTTCTTTCATTTCCTATATTATATTTATTTTGAAGCAAATTATATACAAAAGCTTGATTTTTTAAATTTTCTAATTAAAAAATAAGCACGCGTGTGAGCATGAGCAAATAGGGCACATTTTATGATGCCATTATACAAGCAACAGTTGATGAAACTCAATGTTACATAAAAATGCTTATTTATATAACAGGCTATGCTGTAACCAAAAGATGAACTGAAGCTTATACACATGTTAAGAAAAGTATACAGTAAATACAGTCCACACAACAAGACTGTGAAGTTCAAGCTTACTAGACCAGATCAAGGGAGAGCAACTCACATAAAATCATGTGCGCTTGATCAATGCTTTTATATAAGATAATATATGCTGATTTAAGCAGCCTCTATGTAATAATATTCTTTATTAATTTATTTGTTTACTTATTGTGCTTGGGAAGAGCTAAATTTTCTATAGCAGAAATTGTCATTTTATGAAAAACTACCATTCTACTTAAGCTTAGAATGACAAAAATACTTTGGTAATGGCCTTATAAAATCAGCCACGAGTTTATAATACTGTCATCTGTAATTATGTCTTGTCAGACATTAATAAATTTTGAGATCTCGTGTTCTTATGCAGCGAGTATGAAGACGGCTGTCTTCTGTGTTGTGTCGAGTACTCTGACGGAAGTTCACAGATGTTTCAGAGGTGTTTTCTGCCCCATCACTCATTGCCCTGATGATGGAGGTAGTAAGCACCTCTGAAACATCAGTAAACTTCTAAGAGACTAAACGGTGCAACAACCCAGAAGCCAGTCGTCTTTGCTGTTATACTGCATGTAAGGAAATTTCTCTTACACAAATATACTACACTACAATTATTCAAGAACGTGCACTGACATCAAGTTCAGATCTTGTCCCATTCATCTGAATAATTATTGTTGGCAATGTCTACTTACTTTCGACTTACGTAGTATACCACACATCTAACGCTTGTACACAGTACCTCCTCAGACAGACTACAAACAGCTACTGCAGGGTGATTTCCAACAGGTAGTGGTCCATATGCTAAGTCTCCCATGCATCCTGCTTGGTCTGAAGCTGCTCCCCCATTATGCCTGGGCATGTTCTTGCTTGTTCACAGCATGGTAGGCATTTCGAATCAGAGCATACGGAAAGCACGATTCCAACAGATCCATTGTGAGGAATGGAGACTCCTGAACAATCTGGAATATATACATTAATAATCTGTTATTTAATGATGACTAAAAACTACTGGACCTCACACGTGTCACAATAAAGCTGTTGTCTGGTGTCTTGGAATTAAGACGAGAGACTACTTTACCACTTGCTTACTAAAATTACATAAAAATGTCTGTTAAACTGTCTTGGCAAACCCTGTTTTACTATAATAATATAATACATTTTACTCTCTTTTATTCCACAGACCATCAAAATATAACTGAAAACACCAAAAAATTATTTATTAAGATTTCTGTCTTCTTCAGAAGACAGAAATCTTCATACTCACCGCTGTGAAAACCTCAAATCTTACAATTATTTATTATTCAACTCCTAACATAATATGGCCCCATAATAAAAATATAAAAGCAATACCTCTATATTCTAACATAATATGGACCCATATTAAAAATATAAAAGCAATACCTCTATATACAGAATTTATTTAAAAGGTTCAGCACACAGCAAGTCCAAACTTAAATAGTACCTGGTCAAGCAGAAGGTAAACCGACTCCCTGTTCCTAATTACCTCCTTGTCTGCTTCTTGGCCAAGTCGTAACAAACTTGATGATGCCAACTAAAATGAACAAAAATAATATAACTAATTATTTGACCTAATCTTAAGTGTATTTATTATGTTATATGCATTTGGGTATGTAAATAAATGTTTCTGGAATGAACTAAAAAATCTTCCATAGTACTGTCGGGTATTTCCCCACTAGCACCGAACTAGAGTAACTGTTATAATTTGTAAGTTACGCTAAACAATTAAGTCATATCTTTGTTTCATTCCTTGTTAATAATTGTCTATTATTTTAGGTAGTGTTGTACGACCTTTTAATGCATTTAATCTGTTGAACATATGGTAAGATTCATCAGATGGGGTATCAGCCTACTGCAAGGTCTCTACTTACTCAGGACAACACAGAAAAACGTGGACTTTCATGTCCCAAGCATGATTCAAACATTCAATCCCAATGTTTGAATGAACACCTTGGGTCATGCGGCCATTGTAATTTGTTTAATGCATATTATATTTTAAAAACATTGTGACGCGTATGTTCGTAAATATACAAAGATCTTCAATCACTGTTCAGGCAGTGAGAAATCAAAAGGATTAAGTCCTAAATCTGTTGACTTCCATTTTTTAAACATATTTACGAAAACAGCTCACGGCCACACTTGAGAACAACTGGTATACACCAAATAGATATTTAATCTGAATAAGAAACTTTCACACAACCAGTTCTGAAGCAGTTTCAAATAGTAGTAAGTGCATCAGTACTTACAGCCTGTTTCATATAGGTACACAGTAGTAAGTGCATCAGTACTTACAGCCAGAAATTCCTTCATCCTATCTTCAATATCACCTTGTCCACAAATCGTAAATAATGCCCCAAAAATGTTGTTTACTGCAGTTGCCATGCAATGTATATTATTCGCATGACCTTCTAGAGATGCTCGATAGAATGAATTTTCATTTCTTGCAAGTTTAGGAATTGATACAGCCACGAAAACCATGAGCAAACATGCCAACAAATGTTCATCCTCATCCGTTTCTGAAAATAAATGAAGTCTGTGTTCAAAGAAGCACATTCTCACGTGTTCATATAATCCTTCTCTAAGACAACCAGATGCATTCATAAAGATGGCACATGCAGTGGATCTATTACTTGTAAATAAACACCATCTGTATAAAAGTTCATTTAGATCTTGAAATAAAATGCAGGCATATATGGCCTATAGAGAGGTGTCGTATTCATTCAATATAAATTTATGAAAGTATTGTGCGAACTGTAATTCTATTACCATTCTTTTGATTGCGCAAAGCAGCGACAAGTGTTGGGTCCACTTTGCAGACAAGGCCTGCTGCTGAAGCCATTTCACTCACCATCTGAAATACATATCACCACTACAGTCGTGACCAAAGAAAATCAAATTATTTGGTGCATTTTCATACACCCAAACCTTCAAGAAATCTTGATGTAATGGGTCTACCTACATACAAAATAAATATGATTTTTTCAGTCTCACAAAAACCAAGATTAATTTGCCACTTCGATGATGATCGTCTTCTAGTTGATTGCCATGTATTCTGGTATATGTTTACCAGCGTTTCATAGGTTCTTACTGCCTCTATCATCAGGGTGCTACAACCCAGAAGACAGCTGTCTTCATACTCATAGCCATGAGAACCTCAAATCCTACTTAGTATTGAATAAGTTTTTTAAAGTCCACAATGCTTTTGGGTCCCAGAATTTCTGAATCTCATTAAAATCTTGACTTATCCTGAAGCCTGTTATTAAAAAATCTACCATATTACTTGCTAACAAAACAAACCCCAACACACTTCATTAGTCAATTCAAATTTATAAGTACTTTAACAGGACAGGACAGGGTCCGGTGGAGGGCTCTGGTTAGTTCGGTGATGAACCTTCGGCTACTAAAGTTATGCAGCAAAACCAACATAGGCCTCTTGCAACTTAACTGCAAACAGTCAACTTACATGATAAAAAGCAAAAACAATTATGGAATAAAATATTATGTTTTTTTTTTTATAAAATAGCATTCAATACGTTTAGTTCAGTTTCTTAACTTCTGTATCAACTTCAAGTATGAGATAAATGTGTATCAGGTACAAATCATATTTACTACGCATCAGGCAGTTGTAAGTAACGGCAAAGTCTTTACCTACACAAATATCACTAAAAATAAGGCAGTCAGCCTACTGGAATTTGTAATCTTATACAAAGACATCAGAAACGGGAATGTGAGATCTTGACTCCGTCACAGATAAAAAAAGACCATTCAGCGTAAAATATAAATTAATGCTCTCAGACCATGTCAGATGTGACTTCTGTAAGAAACCACCTTTGTTATTTACCCAATTTAGAATGTCTGAACTACAACTTACCATTGCATCTCCACTGGGCAAGTGATGACAAAAATCAAGAATAGAGCTCAGAAGAAATGGGATGCGTTCCTCTAACACATCAACCAAGGCGCCCTGGGCCAACTGACGAAAACTCAGAATTACTCCAACGATTGTCATCCTCTGCAGCACATTATCCACATCTGAACAGGGAGAGTCATAAGATAAGCAACGAAACATGAACAATGGAACAAGTTTCTAAAATGTGGCTGACTTTGAGTTATTTATCCATTAAAGTTAATTTCTGCAATTACAGGCTTATTTCACAGAACTGTAAATTAATGCTTTTCTTACAGGGCAACAATATTGCCTTATTTTATTTTTATTCACTATTGTAGTCAAAATGCTTACTGATAATTTTCTTGCTAACGTGGCTTATGTTTACTGATAACACAGCATAGCATGCATAGCAAGCTGGACAAAACACAGGTTTCAAAGAACTTACATCCTGCGCCCATTCTTAAAAAAGTAAATGGAGAAAGGACATATATTCTATTTAATTCATTGTCTCTGTCAATACTGAGACCAATCTGAATATAAAACTTTATAATGAAACTTAATACAGAACTTATCACTTTAAGAAAGTATTTACTTTTAAAATAATTTTTGTGTATAGTCAGTGTGTATTAAAATTTTAAAATGTAAATAAATTAACACTGTTTTCATAAAGCACACAATTACGCTGCAAAATAAATAAGTAAATAAATAAAATATATAATTTACAAGTGGAATGAGTGAGAACCTTGGCAAAGATACTCACATTATAAAAAAACAGCACAGATATATAACTTTTCAGAAGAAATATTTATGAAGATAGCTATCTTGTGGATTGTTACGCCGGGTAGTCTAGTAGAAGATATGTTTATTGCCTCCATCATCCATTAACCTGATAACGGAGGTAACAAGCACCTCCGAAACATCAGTAAACATCTAACGTCTACCAGATTACATGGCACAGACCAGATCATAGCCATCTTCACACTTGCCACTGCGAGAACCCAAAATCTCAATATTTATAACACACACAACGTAAGTAAATGGTATTTTCTTTCTCAGAACAAACTATTTACTGGGTATCACTCAATATTGAAAATCACTTGCCAAGATTTGTCTGCATGGTAGGTTAGCCAATGTCAGAACACCCATGTATTCACTACGACAGAGACAATAACCCACTGGATAAGTGAATATTTCATCTTCAGAGAAAATTGAAACATTTTTAGTTGATAATCACTGTGCCATTATTGGGACAGATTGTCACTTTATAGAAGTGAATCAAAAGAAATCAAACAAATCAGAATGTCATAACACTGGAGAGGTGAAATCCGCAACGAAACACTGCGTTTTTACATGCGTTCTTTTGCGCTTTTGCATTTTGAATTCTCATAGCTGACATAAAAGAAATAACATATTATTCATATATAATGCAAGCGTTACCATAAGTACACATCAGCACAGAAACAAATCGCAGACATAAGCATATGTTTTTAATGCAATACTTATTCATGCACTCATACCTACTTATCTTCGTATAAAAAAAGAGGAATGAATTGCAATCCAATTCATGTAACGACACTATTATCACAAAAATACAAGAACATGTCTTTTAAATGTTATTTTCTTTCTTCTCCACTGACTCGGTACTGATCGAAAACTGCTTGGAGAACAACACAGTTTGAAATAGAGGGCCATGACTTTGTATTACAGACTGATCAACAAATTTAATGTATAGCCTGTAATATATGTTGAAATGTCTCTTACCCTGTTAATTTTTGAAAAAAAAAAACACTAAAATCTTCTCGGGCGATCAGCCGCGTCAAATGGCTAAACGATAAAACCGACGTTTCAGCTTTTGTGTTCTGTAGCAACAAATGCAAGACAATTCTACAACATATGATCGTGCATATTATAAGAAACTACATAAAAGAAGGTCAGTATTCACGAAGAACATGTGAAACAATGTTGGCCGCTGGACGGTGAATTTTCATGCAGAACAAGAAATCCATTTGCTTACTCAGAGCCACTTTTGGTCCTGTGATTGCAATGGAAAAACAAAAACAAACTTCTCTAAAGAACCATCCACACACAAATTGAAGAAGAGAGTCAACTAAGATTCCTCCGCAAGTTCTCTGTCCTCAAACTACAATTCACACCATGCACTGGCCAACTGCTGGAAAGAAATGCCCATACTTACGTTGAAGTTTCTTGAACTGCTCTTTCATTATTTCTGGTTTATCAAAGTTGGTTCGCAGTGCGACTAGCACATCCTTGTTTCCTGCAACCAGTTTCTGTAAATCGGCAAATAAAAAAAGTATCAAAAGCACTCACCAACAACAAAGTGTATTTTATGGTTCTCTACGATTGTACCTTGGATATTCTAATTTTACATTATACTCCTTATAAAGAAAATAAGTCTAAAATCTGAAACAAATTATTTTAATGTTTATATATAGGAAAATAATTAATATGAACAAGGCTGGAAATGTGTACTCTTTGGAGCACACTACAAGCCAAAATGTGTTCTTACACATCACAGGTGACGATGCCAGCAGGGCAATCAAATAAGTAACAAATGAAGCAGTGGTGTTATAAAAAAGTTAACCAAGGTCAATGTGTCAATTTGGTATACCTATGAAAATATTACCTTCCAAGTACATGCAAGTAATGCACCAAATTAAAAAACAATTATACAGTATTAAAATAACAAAATCTTTTAAAACATTTAATTTGATTAAATATTTTTCATCAAAAGTGAAGCAAGTAATATGCACATGCATATTTTATTTGCGCCATATTAAAACATACCTTCAATTCCTGTACCTGACTTGCAATATGCCACATGAGGGTCTCATTGAGAAGCTTCATACCATACGGTCCAATCAGTTCGGCCAATGCTCGTAATTCATTGATGTCTGAAAATTCTTCAGCGTTAAAAGGGATTGCTCCTTCAGCTGTGAGACTCACAAAAGCCCTCTGGTTATTGGAGAAGCAGATGTTCCCTGCACTCACACGGCGAAGCAACACTTCCGAATACCTGAACAGCAAGACGTGCCTCACTGGATCCATATTTATTACAGAAACACTTATTAATATTTACCTATTATTCCTGTTGATCTAAGTAATGAGGGAGAAAGGGACCACTAACACGCAAGTAAAAGACATTAGTATATAAGTGTATTAGTTACAATAAATGCAAGAAAATAATTTATATATGCCTGCAAACATAAAATATATTGTTCCTTAGTTATAATTAATACAAAAATATTTTAGTTCACAAAATGAAATTACGTTATACCAGTTAACAATATACTTTTATATCTTTCTCAATACTGAAAGAACTTCTTTAATCAAACTCAAAAGCAAAACTATGACTTCTATCAAGCAATTTGTGTTCTATAAATAATCTTTCACACAAATCACTACAGACAAGACATCCCATGCAGAATGAAGAATGTACTAAATAGCATAAACCTGAAATGTACTTTTCGCTTAAATAAACAATGAAGACCATGACTTACCACTGAGTGTACAAGGCTGCTACCGTTTTCTCTCCATGGCTGTCCACTGACTGTGTTTGCTGAAGTAAAGCGTTGTTAAATACTCTAGTGATGTCAATATGAACTGCAAATCATAATACACTAATCAGTATAAAGTAAACCCTCATTCTGCAAACTGGTCCATATACAATCTTAGAAATAAACGAGTCTAATTTCATAATTTGCTTCAACCGCTTCCAACAGGTTCACAAAATGTAGTAAACAACAGAGACAAGTCTTGACATGAATGTAAAAAAGAAATTTCAGTATCAGTTACACTTTAATTACCATAATTCTCAACAGTCTGCAATACATTCATATATGCTCGCACACTTGCCAACAGCTCTGATGGTTTGGCAATCTCGCTAGTGTCAGAATTGTACATCACCATCCCGACTAAAGCTCGTGCAAATCTGTTCTCCAGGTGCTGCGTAAGATATTCCCGCGGAGCAAACGTATATTCCCATACATTGATAGTGGAGCAGTAATTTATTGCAAAACAGAGCTCTGTTAATGCCATGTGCAGTTTGTCCATCCTTAACAAAAAGAAAGTTAATTAAATATTAAAAATCTCACTTAATCCTTTAATGCTTTATGGTAACTTATAGTCACACTGCCACCACAATCACCACAATCAATTCTTCATTTTATATTTGTGGGTTTCATATGTAAAAAGCAATTATTTTCTTACATAGCCAAGATAAAACTGACTGAATCTATGGTGCAACAGCCTTGGTCTCCGCCCATGTGGGAGGTCGCTTAGTCTTTGAAGTGTGCATTTATGAGTAGTAAGTGACCAGCCCACTGCCTCTAGACAATCTCTACTTAATCCTGATTTGTCTGCTAGAGCCGTCTAGTAGTGAATCAGGAGAGACTTGGGTGAAAAATCACCACTGAATTTTGCTTACAAAACATCTTGTTCATGCTCGTAAGGTTCTTTTACATGCCGTAAATCTACGACAGGGGACCGCCGGCTTCACTTCCCCTCCGAAGGAAGTTGTGCAACGGATTCTTATCACCCTTAAAAATCCATCAACCATTTAAGATCAAAATGACTACTGTTATGTTCCCAGTTTTATATATTTTTGTAATATGTGGCAATTCACAAGAATGAAACTGCGTATAAATGGTCACCTGTAAATGGTAGCAGATACTCTTAACTGTTATTACTGGAAACACTGTAAAATAAATATGGAATATGTAACTACTGTACATGTAATACAAATATTGTTTTATTGTTTAATGATTCCCTGATTCTAAAGATTCAAATTACCTTTCATATTATGATTCCTAATATACGTATCAACAGGCACCATGGAACTACACAAAAAGCTGGACCATGTACAGATGTAATTCGCATTAGTTTGAAGTAACATATTTTGTAAAAGAAAAGCTAGTCCATAGCGCAAACTTACGTAGTGAGATCTTCTCGAGTTTTCCTGTAGCTCTCTACACCAGGCTTTGCTATTTCAGGAGCATTTTTCTTATTTTTGTCCTTCTTCTTTCTGTTTACCACTTGAGAAATCAAAATGGCACAGTGTTTTGGAAGCAGCTAAATTACAATTAGAAAAATCACAAATTAATGATAAAATTTTTATATTACCCCAACAGTCAAAATTTTTGTCATTACATTCAAATACATTACATAACTTCAAAGCACATACCTTATCACTCATTGTGCATTGTTCATCACATATTGTTGTGATTATATTTTTTGCCTCCTTGGCCATTTCATCAAGGAACATATTCACTACAGACAAACTTCGCTCTCGTATGTGATGCCTCTGAAATAAGAGTGAAATTAATTACTGCGTGAAATATAAATATTTGATAATTTCCTCAATATACGAACATATTTTCCATTCCCATTATTTAATTACCTGCACATAAGTAACATTCTTTTATTCAGAATTTTCAGTCCAAAATCAGTAGTTCACTATCCTTCTTCTAAAAACCCTTTATACGACCTTTTCAGTGCTCTTGACTTTACAACCGTCCCTTTTGTGCATATGATCATGACTATGACCACAATCAATGTTTTTGAAATGGGGGTCTAATGCAAAAATCCGAACAGAAATATGATTTATGTGAGAAATTCCTTAAAAGACAAAATTTATACAACCAAAATTCATGGAATTTATTTCAACAACGAACCACCACCTGAACAATAAATTATCACAACAGATATAAGGCATGTATACAATAAAATATCAATAAAACCTGGTTTCCATTTATTAAAATAACATTTTTGTTAGTTGAATTTCATAATGATAAAGTTGTCACCTATTTCAAAGGGACATAAAATTAAACAGTTTAAAAATTTTAACATTTTGTTGATGTAATATACTTTACCAACATTCTTTAATAGTTCCAAGATAATCACCGTGTATTACGTTACTTACCTCTTCTGGGCACAGATCGTGGGTGCAGCTCTGGAAGTGACCACATATCAGAGGAAAAGCAACAATGTAACGATTCTGAGCAGGAAATTCCAGACACATGTGGAACTGATCTTCAAATATCTTGTTGTAAAAGCTGATGTGGGAACAGAAACAAACTTAATAAACCTGCATATTACATCCTACAGGACCTCTCATAAATATACCAATGTGAAAAGAATGCAAAGCTTCGCTAGGGACTTCAAGGCATTCGCATTCAATATCTCTGCGCTAAACAGTGTACCATTCTTGAGATTTTCACGGCATTCAAAGCTGTTAAGAACAGTCTTCTGGGTGGTGACACTGTGTAGACTTGCAGATATCAACATTTCAGAGGAACATAATGCCTCCATCTTCAGGGCTAAAGATGGAGGCAGGATTCCTGCTACCTACTAGTCCAGATGGCATCAAACCTCAGAAGACCAACACTGATTTAAAGCATAATAACTCCACAACATGTACATGTGACAAACTAATACTTCAGTTTTCTGACTTTTTTGTGAATAAGAGGTCATTTGTAACAGTATTACTGTAATATGAAATGTTGCAGATGGGTTTATCGTGTTTTAACAATCCTTGTAATGAATATGCTTTTTCTTTACAGTTTTCTGTTTCGTTCATATTACCATAAAGAACAGTTTATGTATACATAACAGTACTTACCAGAATATGGATAAATCTGATGTCTCCACCAGAATCTCATCTAAATAATCTACCATTTTGGTATGGAAAACTACTGTGTCAAGAAGGGAGGCCAGATCACGATTTTCTGACAGAATAAGTTGTGCCTTGCTCACAGAAGTGTATGCCTGAAGTCTGATCCAATCAATTCTAATTGCTCGGAAATCAAACACCTCATTCTCTTCGACTGAAAAAAAGGCAAGTGACACTCAATTCTATGTCACTAATCTCCACAGTTATCAAATTCAAATACAGAATCACATTAACCCTTTGATGCTGCAGATCTTCTAAGTAGTATTTAAAAGTTCAGAGGCAGTAAGCACCTGCGAAACAACAGTCAATTTCTATGAGACCATATGGCGCAACAGGGTAACATACCAGAAGATATTTTAAATTTGAATCTCGCCTCACTTTGAAACGTAAGCTCGTAAATTATTATTGATAGGTAATTTTCTGGAATGGGATAAAAGAAGTTCTGTACAGAAATTGTACAGATTACATGAAGTATTATTACTGACCATACACACCACCTCACCAAATATTTGCGTCTTTAGATAGGACAGGATCATTGAAATTAAACAATTACCTTGTTTCACAGAGACACTTTGAATGGTGCTGCAGATAGAGGACAGAATTATACTCTCATCTTCAGGGCACACTTGGAGATTCTGAACCATCTGGTTTAGAGAAATGGCGTCATATCCGGTAAGGTACTGAACATAGTACCGCTGCATAACTTGACTGTACTTCCGCACCAGAACTGCGCATATTAAATTACATAAATAGAAATCGGTTGTTTTCAGTCTACGGTGAATTTAAAGGCCACAGAAGCACAATAATGGCTTATGTTACTATATAACAATTCCTTTCCTGCATTGATAAACAAGCCAACCAACATCTTACCTCGCAATTCCTCCATGTGAAAGAGCAATTCCGGCAACTGCCGATCAACCAGATCTTCTGCCGTCTTCCCTTTGCTCTTCTGCTGAGGTGGATTATCATTATGTCGCAAGAGCCAATATACTTCATCTCTTGCACAACAAAGACCAATAAATATCAATAATGCCTGCCAAAAAAATTTTAAAGTCAACATGTGTTCAAAATATTGGATGAAACATGTACTCACAGGAAGAAATGACAAAACACGGTGAGAAGAAAAAATTGTGGCAAACTGTAAGGTATAATTATAACAGTAGCAATAATAAAACAACAGTATTAATATTTTGTGAGTCTGAAATATATGGGAATATCTTAAAGGTTCCATATAACTTGTCACAATTAGATTATTTTTCATTTTGGCTCCCTCTGGGAACATGCAGACATTTTTGGGTCATTATGTATAATTCCTCCTTATGTTAACCATTGACCTGGAATAAAATCTTTAAAATTTATAATGTTATATTTCAGTAACTATAAATATTAAGTGATTCGATAGTGAAAAATAAAGAAGAAATATCACCCAACAGCCCACTTTCCAATGCAACCCGAACAAAGGTCATAAAGTCAATGTGCAACAATTTTACATTATATTCCCAATTGCATTTCATATTATAAGGAACTACGTTCATGTTTAGATTATTATAAACAACTGTGTTCCTTCAAAAAATAATAAAATATAAGTCAATGTTACATACCATAAACACTTAACTCATACATCTCGTAAATGAGGTCACAGCAGTGTGTAAGTAACAACAGAAGAGATACAAACTCCAAGACAGAGATACACAAAGATGTACCTTTGGTCCTAGGAGTCCAGGTTGATCAGTCAGGATTAAACCAAGCTCTTTCAGTGTTGTCCTTAAAAATTTTCTCCTTTCCCGATGACGGTGTGCACTGGTTAGGTAACCAAAATGCACCATATTATGAATATAATACAACAAACTTATACATTTCATTCGCTCTAACCTAATGAACTAAAACCAAGGAAATAGGTATTTTTGACCAATGTTATGGACAGGTGCTTATTACTCTACTTCATATTTGGATGGTCCTGGATTCAAATGTGCATTTTAATACATCACTTCTCATTCAGAGGCTTTTGAAAATAATTCCTAGGGCTACCTCATATTCCCATCCCCGTAAGAAACGTTATTTATTATTATAAAACCTTCCATAAAAATTAACACTTACGCTTTCTGTATGGCTTGATTGTAGCAATCTTTTACTTCTGAAATCCTTTTCCCATATCCTTTAATGCCATCAAAGAAGTTTTGAATATATGAATGTATAAATAGAACTTCATCACGGAAAAGAGCAATGACCCAGCTTGATTCCAGAGCGCTAAGCCACAGTTTATTGGGCCAATCCTGTGGCTTATCTTGCCCTAGAAATTGGTGGCAAAGCATAAAGCCAACTGAAACAGAACACCGTATCAGTTACTATTATATTCATTATTTCTTTAAAGTTTTAATGATATAGAAACATTAAGAAATAAATGTGAAATGTGAGGTTTTAACAGAGGCAAAGATAATGTGCTTCTGGGTTTTCGCACATGTACACTTGTCGGCAGATGTCGACACTGGCACCTACTGATGAATCTACACAGCACCTTAACCTAGACGGACATTCAGAAAACAGGCAAAGTGGTCTTATCCCTGTTTTCATGGAAAACGTAAAATGACTAGATGCTTTATCTTGCACGAAACCACCACAAACATTAACTTTCAGGTTGTCATGAATATTTGCATCAGAGTTATTCGGGCTTGCAAATCATAAAACTGTGATGGCTTATCCTGTGTCATCAGAAAATGTTCTTCGAAAGCACAAATATGCAATAATTCATGCAGAATGTGGTGTGTGATCTCACAGGTACCTTGAATCATCTTAATGAATAACTTGTGGATAAAAATAATATTATACACGAAATGTGTAAGCTTTTATGTTGCAGACAGGTACCACACCAAGCCAGAGCAACAAAATTGAAAATCCTTGACATTTCATAAGGATTTAAACAGAAAATGAACATTTCATAACAATCATCGCTTGAGGAATTAATTACATTTTTTTTTTTAAATGTACCAGGTCATAAATAATGCCTCTTCAGAGCAGATTAAACAAAATCAGATCTAGGCATACTAACACAAGGAGCATGCAACTTACAAGCTTCAAACAAATATAAACACTTACAAATAATCCACCGTTCCATTGTATCAAGTGAGAGGTATTCACAAGACATTGTAGCAGTTTGTGAAGGTTTCAACAATTGGCCTGGGTTCCCAACCAAACTAAGTCTTTGGTCTGACCTATGAATATAAAAAAAGCATACATGATTGGCATGGTGAATTTTTTATGTTCTAAAGAATGTTAAGTTCTAGCAGTATCAAATTAGGCCACAACCACTTCCTTCCACATTCTTTCCAATCCATTGCTTACTATCATCCCCACATTCCAAACTACATAATCTGGGCCACTGAAAGCAATGTTAAATAAATTAGCATCAGTGAATAAACAATTGGTTTATTGCTGAAAGTCTGAGGCCTCCAGAAAAAGTATCATGCCATATTTTAAAAGCAATATGTACCAATATTTTTGGTACTGTAATACCAAATTCTCTGCATAACTTCCTATCGCTTACCTCCATTTTTCTGCAGAAAGATTTCTGTTGCCATAAATTGGACATAAGGACACAAGCGCTGTAACAAGCAGTTTGGCATGAGGCACAAATTCTTCTGAGAGCTTCTTGATGGGTGGATCATAGTCCATTATCATCTGACCCAGGCGAGGAAAACTCTGATCACTGTCATAAACAGTCATGCAAATTACTCAAGTACGTAATTCATACTTAATACAAATCTTAAATTTTTAAATATTTTGCTGCAAAGAATGCAATAATATAAGGTGCCCTAGTAACAATTTTTTGTGGAATTTTCATTACTGCAAGTTTAAGTTTAACTGTCCTGAATATCTCAAGTTTATGTGGCAGACTTTTTCCTGGAAGGGTAAGGCATATATTGAGCATGTAGAAGGTTTCACCTATATTGAATATATAACACTTCTTGTAAAATGTCACAAGATATAGATTTGTCAAGTTGTACCAACTTTTACATGGCAGTGTCATGTTGTAAAGTGGTAGCCATGCCTGTGAAAGGATTAAACAAAGTTTAATCTCTCTCCTTATCTCCCTAACCTCAAACTAGACACAAACTTGTAAGAGAACACACATACACATAAAAATACTAGAGTACCTCTAAATTATATCCTTTTCTAACAAGCAACATACATCTAGAAAGTTTCATAATATTCAATGACTATTAAATGGAATTACAAGAAAGAATTCAAATAAGGTACTGAATGTAAATGATAAACAAACTTTGGACAAGTCAGGAAATAGTCTCCATTACATAAACAACTCTACCAGGGAACATCAAGCATAAAATAGCAGCTAAGAGAAGTATATGGAAACAAACTGCCTAAATTAGTATGTGAATTCAATAATTCATTAACAAATGACAAACGGACACACCTTTGATTATGTACCATTTCATGGGCAGCGTTAAAAAGGCCCAGAACAGCCTTTCTGTCTTCAACCCTTGACAGAAGCATCATAAGAGTTACATATGTGACTACCAATTCAAGGTAAGCCCTTGTTAACTCAAAATTTAAAGTCTGCAAAAGAAATAACTATTTATTAATATGATGTCTTAACATAAAATGTTTCCAGGCAAAGCTAAAATCTAATACAAACATAATCCTTGTCAAATGTAGACTAATACCATTTCCTTTGTGAATTCAAAATCAGCAAGGCAAGCTTTCTGTTAGTTTTCTCACATCAAATAATATGATGATTAATGAATATTGAATCTGAAGGGATATGGTACAAAGCAAACTCAGCCTCACATAAGGGCATTTGCCTACAAGGACTAAGGAATAAAATAAAAAATCTCAGTCACAATAACCAGTCCCAGGTTGAGATAAAAACCCAGGATCTCCTGAATATGAAGTGGGAGTGTTAATCACTTGGCTGTGACCTGCAACTCTAAAAATGTATCCCCAAGTGAATCTTTTCATGGTATAATTGGATATAGCAATGTATGTAGAGCTAGCGATATAAATTACCAACAGAAGGTGAGTGGATGGCAACTTACAATATCAAGTTGAACTTGACAAGCATCCATAGTAGTCAGGAGTTCACACACATTGTCTTTAAAATCCAATAAATCAACAAATGTGTAATAGTAGAGTGATAACGACTTGATGATTTCACTGCGGATTTGTGTGATTGCCTGCAACTGGAAAACAACAAAATTTGAATTAAAAAGCAAGTATCAATTGACTCTAAACCAATCAATCAACCAACAAACTAGTCCACAAGACCCAAAACAAACAACACACAAAAAATCCCTACAAAATCTTCAACACTCTTCATTACAATCAGTGAAACACACGTTCAGAATTCTTGCCACTAAATACCTGGAGCACGTACGTCTGTGTGAGCATGTGCACACATATACTATGTCCATCCACGTAGTAAACAACACTCTGCAATTAAAAAAAATAATAGTGAACTTACTCCCTTTATGTCAATGTTAGGAAATCGTCTAACAATATATTTTATTGAAGATTCCAATGTCTTGTCAGATAAAAATCCTGGTTTTGATTTTGCATCACCACATGCCTGAAACAAATACAGTACAAACTGTAAGAAGTAGTGCCTACAACTGTAATAAACTATCAAATGTATTTCATAATTAACCACGCCTAATAAAGAAGAAATCAGTGAACATAAACACAAAACATATACAGAAAATTTAAAGTATCTGATCTGACAACTTCAGGACAGCAGTGAATTTAAATGGTGCAGCAAAGAGTTAAAACAGTAGTTTCTTTCTCCACGCTTCATTTAAAAATTATAAAATACAATATTTAGCAAGAACGTACTGCAGTGACAAGCTGCATACATTGTCTATATATATATAAATTACAAAAAATGTCTAAAATATAGCCCCTTTCACAAAAAAATACCCCCAAAAACACAATATTTAATTAAAACTATAAAAATATGTTTTGAGTTTCACATCCCTGGTATCCACTATGAAGTATCTATGGAATGTAAATAAATCCAATTTTATTCTTTAAATATTTCATTAAAGAAAATGGCATTACCTTAGTGAACGTATGGACCTTACATGAATGAGGTTAGAATTCGTCTTCCATAGAGTAAGAAGTGAAATTAATCTGTACAAGAGCAGTTACTTTGAAAATCATTTCTTTACAACTGGCAACATTCATCCTCAACAAATTTAATAGATATCAACTACACTGGGTTTCTTGCGTGATTCACCGTCAAATAAGATGTCTTCAAAAGGCCATAACCTCCTTCTAGAAAAAACATAAAACTGAAACAAAACTTACCTTTTTGATGTTGTAAATCCTTGTCAGCATGCCAGTACCCCTGTCATTAATAAGGGATAACTTTTCTGCCAACTTTTGTTGACCAGGGACGAGTTGCCTCGCCATTCTAAATCCTTATAAACAAACTACAAGCACTGACACTACGAAACTGACTACGGAACATATGCCGCGGAATATCTATGGGAACGGAAAATATCGCCCAATCCATGTAGGATCCATGAAAATCTGGGATTTCGTTCCCGTTTAAGTAGATTATATCATATACAGACCGTATGCGTAAACAATTTTTAAACAGAACACAAATCATATAACACTTCAAGTTCTCATGACAACTAAAATTCTCTCACACGATCAACCGTCAGTTCGGAACAAAAGTCCGAATTGATGCTAGTGGAATGATTTTATCACATTGCCTTTTGTAAGGTGTAATACACATTTTACGCCCCTAACTACGCCTTGTCGTAATTTTTTGGGCTGGCATTACCTCTCTGAGCACCAAATGAACGAATAACTAAAACCACTTGCTGTATTCTGACAGCAGGCTCTTGCTAAAAAATGAAGAACAGGTATTTATACCCACAGTACAAATATGGAATCAAATTCTAGAAGCAAAATCTTCACAGATGCATAAATAATTTTAAAATGGGATACCAACCTATAATAAATGAGAATGGAGATCATGCAGATTCCCAAGTTACTCTGTCTAGATTAAAGAATATTTCAACAACTTTCTCAGTGGTAAAACTGAAAAGTTGGACAGAATGGACCACATTCTACATACTTCACTAGTTCCAGAACTTAACATTTGATAAACAAGAAAGACAATAAAGACCTAAAATATGATCCTAATGATAATTTAATTCCAGTGGAATTAATCCATATGTCCAGCCAGACACCACATTAACAGATATTAATAAACTTGAATTTATCACTTGAAATTACAAGTAATTACTGGAACAATGTGCATTTCTTACAAATTTATAAAATGGGAAACCAAATTTCTCTTACAAAACGTATCTTTGTCACATATCTCAGAATTGCAAATTAAATTACTGGCAATTGCCAATGCAGATTCCAACATCAGGGAGTTACCAAATTTTCATATGGAATAGATAGCAGGAAAGAATTAAGTGTAATGATGCAAAATACAATGTACCATACAAAATACGTCTGCCTGGCACAAATGCTCATTGAACAAAAAACAACTGAAATTATGGTCATAACAATATAAAGCAGTACATAGGATATGCCTGAAGAATTCAATATTGCCACTGGTTTTGTTGTTTTATGAACGGGCTCATGTATAGCACTTAGGGTTGTGTTTTACATGGAACATGCTGTTTAAGCCATTTAGTTACATTTAAATAACATATGCATACATGCAAAAACTTCCACACACACGTGTTTCTAAAATAACAAGTTAGATGTGTTGGACAGTTCTTTGCAATATATTTACAAACAGCATTATTTACAAATTTTCATCACTATGCTAATTCTACAAAACTCTATACATTACAAGAAGTACATAAATTAAGAAATGTGAACTTGCTAATTTTAAAACAAATATAACTTACTTGACAAAAATAAGTTAAGTATGGTTTATTACAATAAAAGACATTACACTAAACACAGGAAAACACTATATGCTTGCTACAGAGCATTATCAAGAACAGTATAAAACAGAACACAGAAAAAGCTCTGTAACAACAGCATAAGACAGTGAGGTATCACACTATTTTTAAAAAATTATGTAGAAATTATGTATTTTCAGATAAGACCACAAGATAACAAATTTAACATCCTGAAGTCAGCTTTAGCTTATAATTAGAGTATGCAGTTTTCCAGTATTATCAAGAAGGAAACAACTGGAAAGCTCAATACACATTACGTTTAGCTACAGAAGAACATTTTCAGTTATTAGAGACAATATAACTGAATAATTCTTTGTACTCTCAAAGCAGATTTTAAATATTAGTTACAGGTTTCTGGACAGTGCACTTGGTACACAAATAGTTAGCCAAATATCAACATTACATATCCATTATGAACATGAAATAAATTAATATGTATGTACCAGTATAACAGAACATGTATGGTATACAAAGTAGAAACACATTTTCACAACCTGGAAACAAGGAACAAAAGGAAGTGGATTATTCCTTTTCTTTTGCACAATGCTGAACAGTTCTCTCACACATCTTAATAAGAGATTAGATGGGCAACTGCAATTACAAGGTTGTGATAAGACATATCTCAGTTATATACTTTACGTGTAAAACCTGATTTACCATCTGGTAAATTACCAGGTGCAAATAATGAAAGATCAAGTAGGAAAACAGAATTTACCAATGTAAAATTCTGACCGCAAATGGCTACTGTTTAACCAAAACATTTCATATCACTTAACAAGCGACACAGCTCAAGCGTAAAGATTAAACACCAGCAGCAAATGTCTAAGATCAAGAATACATTTGTTCTACTTTCACATCAGCATTGGTCAAGTTATATGTAATTCCATACAAAATGAATCTTGAAACTGAAGACGAAATCAACTGCCACAGTTAGCCAACAGGTCAGTACCACATAATGCTGACAAAGACAAAATGTAAAATTATGTGGATCAGTTAAAGAATGGCAAAAGTTCACAGGAACTTGACACGTGATACAATTAACAGATGTGTACTTGACAGTGCAATAGAGAAGTTTGTCGTTTGTCAATGAAAATAATCCTACTATTTTCACAGACCTACTAAGCGGTACCACTCTAACTGTCAGGATACTGAGAAGCATTGCAACAGTAAATACATATCTGATTGTATTACAACAAAGTTTCACATAAATAAAATAAACATTTTTATGTTTACATAATTTATTCCCCAGGATCATACAAACCCATACTTCAGTTTCCTATGTGTTATTTCAACGCAAAAGAATTGTTCTACAAATAAAAGTTGAAAATGGTATTTGAATTACTAAAATTTATGGAGGTGTTCCATAGTTCTGACAGGTTATTCAAAAAATAAATGGACACTGCACTATTTTCTTGTACTCCCTCAAAAAATGAATGTTTGCTCTACAAACTTTTCATATAAAATGCACTGTTCAAGACGTAAAGAATATCACGGTACTGTCCATAATGCAACATGTAATTTGTCCACCTGGAACCTGAGAAAATATAATTATTGGTTCTGCGTTACATCAGTAAATCTTTCATACTCAACTTTTCTACTAATATAACTGCCTGGCTTAATGGCTGTGCATGTTTTGGTATTATTAATCAGTTATCAGTCATAATGTAAATTCATGTTAATGCTGTTTTATATTCTATGGTGCAAGCCAAAAACTGATACAATAATTCTAAACCTCTTAATACTGAAGGAATGATGCATTCCTACATTTTCTGTGTCCAAACGGACCATATTTCAAAGCTTCTGGGCCTGAATTTGACCAGGTAATCTGTCTAAATAAATACATGAAATGGAATTAAAACCAGTTTTTCTTTTTGGCTGGATAAATTATAAAGAGTGTAGCGAATAAATACACGCCCACAGACGTCATAACAGTAAGTAAGACTTTTACAGTACACCATGTCAGAAGCAAGACATCTTCCAATATTTCAGAGGTACTATTTCCCTTGAGAATTCACTATCATAATCATAATAATTTCTTAATTATTTTCAGAGTGCACCATAAAACATATTTCCAAAAAATAATTTCCATCATATCTGGGAAATGTTCTGTTTGCAATATGAAACATCTTTTCACTAATTGATTTCACACAGTTAACATATGTACATACATACATATGACATTAAACTAATAAATATAAGATACTAATTGCTACTTAGTTTTATAATATGCTGTTGTTTTGCACATAACTGAAGTTTGTAATTTATTCAGTTTCTATACCATACTAACCTCTAAATGTTCCCCCCCTTTTATTAGGCCACCTGCTTTTGAAACCCAAACAATTAATTTTACAAGTGACAGAAATATTTTTCTAAGCACAAGGCCTGTCCAGATATTCATATGTAATACTTCATTGTGGCAAGATAAGTACAGTATCATAAGCCAACTCCAGTACTATATAAAGATACCTGGATGATGCAATAAAAACTCATTAATCTGAAAGAAATAATGTCACAATTAAATTTTAACACAATTTATAGTAACCTTCCTTACGACAATGTTTCTTGCAAAACTAATCATCATTGGTGTGGCCCATTATTCAAAATGGTTTAAAAGTAATGTAAGTGATTTTCATTTGTAAATGTGTGCGTATGAAAAGCATATGAGAAGTGCAAAATGCAATAATACAATCCATAATGCATCGGAGAAACTCTTTCAGTGACGTGGATTAATAAAAAAATTTAAAATGTTATAAGTTGCATTATTTTAAAAACAATAAGAGAGAAACTAAGTAGTCAAGAAATGGATCACTGAGGACCAACAGCTGCAATGTAACAAAAAATGTATTTGGGACTAGAAGTTATTACCTTATACAGGACTAATATTTAAAAGCGCATTAAAATGCATTATAAATCTGAAAGATAAACTAGTTCTAATCCTGCTATTACCCATTATCATCCACAACTACTTTATTTTATAATGGTCTTCAAAAAACACTCACATATACACTAACAAAAATCATCATACATTATTTACAGTTCTAGAAAACAATGCTAGGAAAATAAAATAATTAAAATTTAATTATTATAACAGATAAATTCCTCCACACACACACACACACAAATTCACAGTTCATACTATGAGCAAGATACTCAAAGTGTTTATAGAAGGCCAAACTAGCTCAGAACTTTGTAGTGCATTCTGACCCACGCCTGAATTCAGAGAGATAATGTCTCCTTGATTAATTTCTTCACAGTTGTGCCTACGGATGTATTTGTGGGAGTAGACGTTGCAAATCCGACCTGGAACCGAATGGTCGTACACATTAACCTCAAATAATATAAATTGTACGTCAGTATGGTAGGGATGAACTGGTCACAAATTCCTTATACTATACACCTCCAGCAGGCCAATATGCATTGTACACAGTAAAAGGCAGATGGAATTTATGTACAATTTCATAAAGCAGCTTGTAGGAAAGAAAGGATTTTACGAACAGAGACATGACCAAGAAAATGGCAGTGCTAAAAAATAAGACGTCACATAAAAACACGTGCTATGTGCGCTCACACTTCAGTTCTGAAAATCTAAATGTCGATACAGTCTATTCCACTCCTCACGCCAGAATATGGAAAGCAAGAAATGTTTCATTATTAAAAAATGTAATTTCTTTTGGAACAAACAAACAAACAAATACTTTTGTATTTTACTTTTCTCTTATGCTAGGAAACAATGCATGTAGTTTCCTCCCATCTTCATATTATTCTAAATGATATATACTCTTGGATATTTTCCATCATCTAGTAAATAAAATAAAATAGAAAACAACATTTTGGAGAAGGGGCACTATCTCCGTCTTCAGGTACTTACTCTGTTGGGCCCAATAGAGCTAATCCCTAACAGTTTAATAAATATTTAGTAAATTACACTTTCTTATTATTTCATCTTCAATTAATTAGTCTGATACTTTCAAATGGTATTCATAACATATATCACTGGCATGAAAAATTAGTTCTACAAATGTCAAACTGAGTCTGACAGACGACCTAAAGAGTTCACATGTTATGATTTACTAAATTTATTTCTTTATCAATATTACCTTACCCTAAATAAATATGGCTGCACATCTGCATAAGATGTGTCAAAAATGAGGTCCAACTCTGACTGATTTGGCATTTTTGGAACATAGTCATGCCTATTCATCACTTCAGCAATATAGAGGATTTTTTCAGTCAGCATATCACCTACCCTCTCCCTGCATACCTGCCGTTCTAAATAGAAAAGAAAAATTAATAAGACTTTCTTCAATATGGTGTCACATTATTTGATTGTACATGTTTTAACGAACATGTAGTTTTATAATTGCTTCCAAAACTGCCTGTGAATTACTACAAGTACATACAAGATAAAGGATTACTTTCAATTTGCATTAACTTTCGCTATAGACATTTGTCATTCTAAACTAAATAAAAGACAAAGAACTGACGAGGGATTGAAAATCCACTGTCTTATCCTCAAATCACCAGGTCTCATGTGATAAATTAAATACAAAAACATGTAATGGGCAAAATACGAACCAACAAGGTCAAACATTACATTCCTCTCTAGTATTCTCTAATAACTCATAAGCAGAAACATATCAACATATTAAATTACAAAAATCATTCCTCCAGTGATTGATTGTAATTACATGCTCCTTACCATGTTCATTATTAAGTTTAATAAGCTCAAGTCTCACAGTCCAAACTTCCCATGGAATACGTTCTGGCTGAAAGGGCCATCTATTCTTTTTCTTCTGGAAGAATTCAAGTGAAATTTGACCTGACCCAGGTCCATCATTTCCACGCAAAGCTTCAGAAAATACTGATATCTCCCTTTTTAAATTCCTGTCCAGGTCATCAGAGGAACAACAAACCTAGAAGAGAAAGCATATTTATAAGATTTTTAATGATAATAGAAATTACTTTCATAAGCAAAATAATATGAGCTTCCAGAGATAAAATTATTTCTGGAAGATACCAAATAATGTTCCTAGTAGATCCGCATGTTTCAGGAATATAAGTGTGAGGATCCACAGTTTAAAATTTGGCACTAGATGAAGAGACATCAGTGTCGAGTTCTGGCCCTCTTCTCGTTGAGAATAGAAGCTAACAATACCTTACAAGAAACAATTATGTGGATACTGTCATTAGATTGATGTGAAATTTATTATTATGTAACATGCATTCAACCAAGTAATTTTGGAGGTGAAAATACATTTCATGTTTTGTGCACTTACTTACTTATGCCGAGGGTGCAAGAATTTGATTATTAATAAAAATGTCAGGTTATGTTTAGTTTTGTGGAAGGGTTTGTTAACCCTGCCACAATTATAAGATTAAATAACCAATAAAATTAGATTCTGTGAAATTTTAAAAATTTTAACAGTAAACAGAGGGCAATTCAATATTATTAGTATCTCTCTTGTATTCTGTACAGCTCACTTCATTAAATATTTCTGACAAAATGTGAAAAGCAATCTAATGAGATCTGAGGTCTAAAGATGACTTGTCTTCAGTATTGTTGTGCCAAGTAGGCTGGTAGAAGTTTACCAGCATTTCAGAGGAGTTCAATGCCTCAATCATCAGTGCAATCATCCTGATGTTTGAGGCAGAAATAAATGCAATATTCACGTACGTAATGGAAAAAAGTGTAAAATTCTTACATAGGTAAAATCGATGAAGTCGCAGTCAACATCTGCATATCCAATAGTCCCCACAGAATAGCTGCCTTCTTGTTTGTATTGAAATTTACCCACTGAACGATGAAAAAGTACAGTGTGAAAAATACTTGCAACTGCTTCATCAACCTGACGACCTTCGACAGTCTGCAGAAGAGGAAAAAGAAGGAATAAGTTTTAACGTATATAATCACCAAACATTTATAAAGTTTCTTACAGGGATTAATAATTCCACATATTTATGCCAGCTAAATACATACACCAGAGCATTATTCCTCTCGTTTCTGACAAGTTTACTTTGTGCCTATTGTAATGAAGGCAGATATTGCAATTAGCAGAGAGCATTATTTCCATACAAGCTGGAATTACATTAACTCTAAATTACAGCTAATGGGAAATGAGCAATAATATAAAACAGGGGTTCTTAACTGCAGCTCATTTACATTCCACAATGCAGTGTTTTGTGCTTCATGTAAAATAGTTACCTGATATGAGAAAGCATGTCTTGTTAATAACTTCGGTATTTTGGCAACAACTATGACTATCAGCAATTGTTCAGCTTGATGAAGAATGTCAAATCAAGAATTAGGACATGTCTCAATTATGAACACTTGGAACAATTAAGGAGTGTCAAATATCTCACTAATGATTTATTTTTTAAGGAAAATTACTATGTAATGTGAACCTACCTGTTTGTAATAAAAAATTAGGAGGATTTTTAATAAAGTGTGATGAAGTTTCAGTACACTGCTCTTATTTACAAGTTTGCAGCCTGAAAGTCAATAAACAATGGTGAATGTGGCCTTTGGTCAGGAAATGGGGAAGAACCCTGCCTTATAACAAAAATATCAGAGTATTGTGTTACCCTGTGATATCACTCTTTGGTCATTTTTACCAACACAAATTGCTATCATCCATTATGTATACAATTGCTGTCATCACACTTCACTTTAAAAAAGATGTGAGAGAAATAATATTGCATAATTTACATTAACGAATGACGACATATATTTGAAATCTCTCTAAAAAGTGCTGATGATCATTTTTTAAAATCACTACAGGCAGTATAAGAACATAAGCATATGTTTCCAACATAACATTTATACACTCCCATACCTATGTACCTTCGTATTATCTAAACAAAACAAAAGAGTGAATTGTAACCTAAAATATATACTTTGTACAAGTTTAAGAACATATGTTGAACACAACGTTTTCATTCTTTTCTATAAATTCAATTGTTTATCTGAAACTGATTATCCACAGAACAGCATACATTCAGAGGGCCTTGACACTGTAATACAAACTGATTAAGAAATGCAATGTATTGACTATGTAATATGTTGAATTATATACATTTTTAAGAACGTTTTTTCAATTGGAAGACTTGAAGCCATATAACAAACAAGATAATTATGCTAAAATATAAAGAACAAGGAAAATTATAGGCAAACCACTAAACATGTGGTTCTCAAAGATATTCTTTAATCAGAAAATTTAATCAAAAACACTATTTCTTGTCATTCTGTATGTCCATGTGTGACTATCAGACCGCGTAGTGATCTTTCACTTTTAATAAAAATGTTTTTTAAGCATTATTTCAGATTTTACAATCATTACTGACAGAGAAGTTTCTAATGTAGAAATAAAAGTATAAAACAATGAAAAGTAACAAAACTGTAGGACTTGAGGTGGTGAGCAGGAAGATGGCTGTCTTCTAGGTTGTTGTGCTATGTAGTTTATAAAAATAAAAATAAAAAACCCAAAATTCCAAAACAATCATATGATAAGTAACTATTTATAAACATTTCTGAATTTGTTTTCATTTACAGTTACTCACCCTAACACACAAGTTCTAACCTAAGGCCCATCACTGAATTTGGGTTTCATTTAAGATAACTAGCATAAACACAAATTAATCCAACTTACCCATGCTAAAGTTACACCCAAATAATTAATAATTAATAGGTGAAATTAAGAAATCTTATGGAACACCATAGCCTGGAGATTCTACAACGATTACAAAAAATAATGTCTCTGGTTTCTATACGCATTTGAAACGTACACAATGAAGAACCAAAATAGTGTACCAAAACTGTAATTGAACAAGAAAAACAATTTCTTCAGCATTCTTCCTGTGGTAAATAGATCTAATTTTCTGCATGCTGCACTAAATTGTTCTAATTTTGAAAATCATCGAAAATGACATTTCATATGCAACTGCAAAAGATTTATTCAATATGCCTAAGTATTACTCACCTGTATTGCAATCCTGGTATAATTTGCTATATGAATGAAAATGTACAGTAAACAAAATATGGATCATAGTGCTGTTTCTGTTGATATTATAAACGTATTTAACACACACAAAATACTTGTAAGAACACAAAGTTTAATATGAGGGATATATAAGTAGATTAACAACTAAAATAGCTGCCTCAAATGTGTACAACACAGATCAAAGCGTCCCCTTCTCCAACATTTCATATATCATAAAGTGGAACAATATATTTTTGTTTAGAGATAAGTATAAGCGGTCACTCAGTCGTCATCCTTAGTTCACGTGCCATAAACTTACCAATTCAAAAATCTGTGACCTCGCGTTCATGTTTTAAGTTTCCGGGCTCCCTTCCCGATTGGTAATTCATGACTTTTAATATAGTTACAGAATGTTTAATGTTATTCTCCACTGTAATTCTTCTTCTTTGTTCACTTGGAGTGTGATTTTACTTTTTCCTGCCCAGTTTCTTACACCTTTTGCGACAGTCAGCTGTTCTTTGTTTACTATAAAATGTTGCTAAACATGCAGAGTAATGCGAAATCATTACTGAAGTCAGATATAGCTGCGTATAATTTCAAGTTTTGAATTAATACATATAAACACATTTTCCAAGCCTCAAAGTATTACCACTCATTTGATATTTTCAGAGAATTCTAAGGTGGAACCAAGCAAACTAAACTACGATTCCTTCTCCGCAACCAACTTCACGCAAGGCAGGACAGCCACTCCACTCCAATTGGTCGTCTGGTTGTTCATCTCTGGTCACACAGCTTCCCATGGTGGGGAAAGAAGGTAGACAATACAAGATGGATTCGATAACTCATATGAGCACAATGTTCATGTTTAAGCCTCTTTGCTTTCTCACAGAGAATATTCGTTTATTGTGCAAGATGGTATCGTTTACTATATACTACACAAACGTACAACACTGCCACCTACAGAGCCGAAAGCAAAGCATTCTGGCACAGACTTCGGAGAACATTCGGAAAAGTAGCTATTTACAATTCCATATTAATCCCCTCCCCCCCGCCCATACGTGGACCACCAACACGCAAAACCAGATGATATTTGGCCTGCTGACCAGACACTCCGGTAAAACAAACTCGCTGCCCTGTTAATTCTAACGAGGAGTATACCGAACAGATGGCTCTGTTCGTATTTTGTAATTGAAACCAATTGCGTTCATACATTTACCTATGCATTAATGGTGTTGGGAGCACAGACTATTTTAAAAAAAATAGAGAAATTTGATTTAAACCCGAAGGAACAACAAATTTTATTCTCTGCCTATGAGACATGAATGAAATTTTAAAAATATATTACAATTTCAACCAGACTACCTAAATCAAGTCAAAATTACAGAACCTAGCCATTATTGGAGGTGAAACAAACTATAAGCCCACTTAGGTTCATTCAAAACACTAAAACAAAAGGGACCGGCGCAAAAGATAATTGGCGCCCTAAGCGAGCCTTCGACTTTGCCCCGCGACCCCAAATAACTTCCGAAAATAAACTGTGCATGAGTACAAACAACAATTTTGCGTGTGTAATTTATTATTTAGTTTGCAGGATAAATGATAATAATACGATACTAGTACTGAATGTAAACTAAGGCTGTTCAACACTTTACACATAACATATATAAAAATTTATACCAGAACCTTCAAAGAGAACGTGCACAAATAATTATTGAACAGAACCGAGACAAACCATCAGCACAAGACTTCAGTGCAACTGACAATGTTGACTAAATGTGTCAATTCGCGAGACAATCTGTTTGTAAGGAAATCTGTCCACTTGTCACATTGTTGACTTCACTACACAAACATCAACCATTTGTATGCGATTTCAAACATTGTTGGCGGCATATTACAAACGTAAACACACATTAATTACTTCCTTATCTTTTCTCTTTCTGTTTTTAGAATCTATAGAGTTCTGCTTTACGCTATTTCTCTTTCTTTTTTGTTCATTTAATTTTCTGCCGTCCTAGGCGAACACTTTGTTTGTCTAGCAGTTAAACCGGCTGTGATTTGCAGGAATTCAAAAGACTGTCATCTGGGATGTAGTTTTTGGCCGGTGGAATTTTCAAGGGGAAGGCTAGGAGCGAGTCACTTGTGCTGACTGCACCGAGGAGCTTATCGGACTGAACGCCCAAACAAAAGAAATACACTGACCGTGCCACCTCAGGTACACAGAGTAGGCTCGTCCGCCAGCTCCGCTAGCTTCTCCACAGGCCAAAAACTACTGCGCCGACCATACAGTCTAATCTGATGGAAACTAATTAGTGTTTCACCGCCCTAAATAATTATCCTCATATTCGTCGCCGTGATAGCTTGAAATCACCTAGAAAACGCTTCAGAGAACCATAGGTTAAGCACAGCGGTAAATTATTGTCCTTCGTTCTTTAAAAAATAAATAAATAACAATTTCAACAGGGAATCGAATATTTATGGGCTGTTTTACCCACTTAAAATACATATACCGTCAAACCCAGATAAAAGATCCCTTCACTCTGGTGGCTTTGCTACAATGAAAGCCTCTGAAAAGAAACTCCATGTGTAATTTCAAAGGAAATTTTCAGGTAATCACCGCCTTGTTGTTCACTATCCGGAAACATCTGTGACAATAAGGATATACCGTTAGGCATTGTTATCAAGTCTGATTCAGCGCAGTGCAATTTTGTTTACACCGACTATTCTCCATTGAACATCGAGTTATAAAAATGTACTGTACACCAACAAAGCCAGAGTTAACAAGACCACTCAGGTAAGGAATTAAGAGGGAAATTGGCTGTTATTTGTGGTCAGCCGTGTAAATGGCGAAATCCCAAAGACAGTTACAGTAAACAAACCTTGCACTGGGAGGAATTTTAGAAAAAAACAGCTAAGAGACCAATCAGTTTATTTTTCTTCGACAGGTTAATGTAACCTTTCGTGAAGAAAATGTTCTCCGTCTGCTTTTTTTCGAGTAACTTAACACAATCACAGGTTGGTCACAGATGTAGGCGTAAAATATTAACATCAAAAGATACGCATAATCGTAATCCGTTGCGTGTTTTGAGAAATGAGGAAATGTTTTAAAATTTCAAGGATTTATCTTTGTAGTTGTACAATTTGTTAATATATTTATAATTGCCGTCAACTCAGGGTTCTTTAATTTAGTCAAATACACCCATAATCGCCCTTGGTGGACTAGTGGTTAGCGTGCTCGCCACTGAATCCAAGGTTAGCGGATTCAGTCCCGGCCCGAGGTCGATGGATTTTTAAGGGTGATAAATCAGAAGCACAACTTCCTTCAGAGGGGGAAATAAAGCCGGTGGTCACATGTCGTAGATTTACGTCATATAAAAGAACCTTACGAGCACGATACTAGATGTTTCGTAAGCATAATTCAGCGGCCATTTCTCAATCAAGTCTCCTGATTAAATGTTAGATGGCTCTGGAAGTCTAATCAGGAGTGAGTAGAAATTGTGCTGGTCACTCACTACTCATAAATGCACACTTCAAGACCACGAAACCTCCTAAAAGAAGGCGGTGAAAACCCACAACCGGGTTGTAGAGCCAAAAACAATGGCACAGCCATAACATTAACCTTTTACCTGAGTGATTCATTTTACATAAGGTACGGTATTATGCAAGTGTTAAACGTTCGTCATTATTGTGAACATTAAAAAACGCGTTTTACCACTGAATTCCTGCAACAATCAAAGTTTACACGTTAGTTTTGTGTCTGTCAGCAGTGACATTACGTGTTAACATTTTTATTAGACCATTTAAAATAGCAGAATGCAATATTTTGTTTCAAATTTTTGTAAATATTCGTGTTATTTACCTGACCTCGGGATGCTTGGCTTTGTAAGAGTATATGTATTACTCAGTACCTTGAGCGTCGCGAAAGTCAAAGAAAGCTTTATCCAAAGTCTAACGACTAGTCTAGGCAACTTTCGAATGTCGGGCACTGGTGATAACAGCCCAGTTCAATTAGTCTGCGACATCTGTGTTTTTATGTGCGTCTATCTTCAAGTTAACTTTTACCAAGGTGCGGTTCGCTAATAAAACACAGTGAAAAATGCAACATACAGTAATTACAGGCTTCCAATTTACACAGCAAAATATTTAATATAGAAACAATCAATTCGTTTAGAATGCATAGTTTAAATATGCAAAATTACACTGGTAATGTGTTAAAACCATGCGTGGGAACAAGCCAGAGGGTGGAAGACAGAATAGGTTCTTCGACGCAACTCCAAGATGCCTGGAAATATAGTCCAAGATCGGTTTCGTGTTTAAAATGAAAATGAAAGTGTCACGTGACGAAACAGAATCTCGCAGTGGAAACTCCCATGAATTTAACGTTTTTGATTTTGCAAGTATATTTATTCCTATTACCGCAATATTTCTTCATCAGTGGGCTTATATATTCCTCGAAGCTACTGAAGGAAAATTCCTGAAAATTTCCTGTTCCAAGAAAAAAGATACGCACATCTGAATTTTCTTCCAACACACGACTTTGCAAAACATATCATATCTGAGATTGTCTGATGTGAGAAAGGGCGTTGGTTATCATTTCGTCACATTATTTTTCGTATTATCTTTAATTAAGGGCGTAGTCCTCAAAATATTCATTATAATTTCAGGGTAAACTGTTTGTAAATGTATGATTTTAGGTTATGGATCAAATAAAATACACAGTTTCTGTTAATGACTTCTCAGTGTGAAACTGATTATAATTCACGATTCACATGATAAAAATCATTCAAATTATCTTAATTATGTACCATGTATAATGACTCATCGCCCTGATGATGGAGGTAAAAAAGACCTCTGAAACGTTGGTAAACATCGATCAGACTACACAGCGCAACAACCCAGAAGACATAAATCTTCAATAAAATACATTATTAACTCAAATAACAACCAAATATATGATTTAATGAGTGAATAAATATGAATAAAATATTATTAGAACAAGCCACAGTAAACAGACGCCATAACTGTAAGCAATGACACATTTTCTTCTCCGTCAGTCACACAATAGACGACTACGGAGGTTCAACACTAAGCTTTTGTGTCTGACACATCTTACGATAACGTACTTTCGTGTTATTATATACACGAGGACACACGGACACTAAAAAAAAACACATTCGCGGCAGTGACGTCAGGTACTGACGTCATTACGAACCGGTTCAAGGACAACGCTTAAAAAGTGGCTACAAGCCATCAAGAGGCGAAACAGGATCTTTCTTTCTGTGAGATTTCCGAGTAATATGATAGATACTGATCCATGTTGCATAAGAAATTTTAGCCAAAAACACTGACGTGAAGAGACCGCTAAAGTATAAAGCATATAAGCGACAATTCTCAAAGCAAAATTCAAACCTTATTCTCTGTGCAGGAGAAATCGACAGAATCTGCTTCGACTTCTTTTATTTAATTACTGTAACTGGAGACACGAATGAAAAGTCTACCGACAGACTGTCCTGAGTTGTTACGTGGTTCGAACGCCAGATAAATGACGTTTTACATTTTATTCCTTGCACCCTATCATACGATAGTCCGGGATACGAACCCATGGCATCGAATATGAATATTAGGATTCAGAAGGTTTTCGGCAAAACAAGGTTAAACTATGTTGAACTGGTTCACCTACCAACATGAGAACCTAAAACTTAATCCGTGTATTTATTTTACGACGATTTCTCAGTCAGTGTGTTGAAGGATGCTATAGGCCAGTGGTATTCAACCTGGGGTACGCGAAA